TATAATCAAAGAGCATCCTGAACTCCACCAACGATGGAATTCAACCAAACTTGGCACACAGGACTCCCCTGACCAACAGAAAACACTAGAAGGGTTTTGGAGTTGTAGTTCACCTACATCCAGAGAGCACTGTGGACTCAAACAATGATGGATCTGGACCAAACTTGGCACGAATATTCAATATGCCCAAATATAAACACAGATGGAGTTTGGGGGAAATAGACCTGACATTTGGGAGTTGCAGTTACTGGGATTTATAGTTCCCCTACAATCGAGCATCCTGAACCCCACCAACGAATTGGGGCAAACTTCCCACACAGAACCCCCATGACCAACAGAAAATACTGTGTTTTCTGGTGGTCTTTGGTAACCCTTCTGACACCCCCTCACAACCCCTCCCCCAGGGGTCCCAAACCCCAGGTAGAGAAATGCTGCCTTAAGACCACCCAGTCCAACTCCCTTCACTATAGCAAGAAAACATAAAGCCCTCCTGACAAAGAGCCATCCAGCCATAGATATAGATAAATATATATATGACTAGCTGTACCCGCCACGCGTTGCTGTGGCCAACCTTCCCCCTATCTCCCCTTCCTTCCCTCCTTCCTTCACTCCCTGTTTCCTTCCTTCCTTCCCGTCTTTCCTTCTCTCCTTCCTTCCTTCTCTATCGCTTTCCTTCCTTCCCCCTTTTTCTTTCTCTTCTGCTGTGTCTCTTTTCTTCCTTCTCTCTTTCCTCCTTTCTTTCCCTCCCTCTTTCTCTCCATTTTATCCCCTTCCTTCCCTCCCTCTTTTCCTTCTGTCCCTTTTTTCTTTCCTTCTCTCCTTCCTTCTTTCTCTAACTTTCCTTCCTCCCCCTTTTTCTTTCCCTCCCTCTTTCTCTCCTTTCTTCCTTTTCTACCTCATTCCTTCCTTCTTGCTTTCCCTCCCTCTGTCTCTCCTTTCTTCCTTTTCTACCTCATTCCTTCCTTCCTTCTTTCTTTCCCTCCCTCTTTCTCTCCTGTCAGGGGTGATTTGAATGCAATATTCCTGCTTCTTGGCAGAATGGGGTTGGACTGGATGGCCCATGAGGTCTCTTCCAACTCTTTGATTCTATGATTCTATGCTTCTTCCTTGACAGATTAGAAGGGGGCGTGGCTTGGAGGTAACGTGAGAAGGGTAGAGGGAGGGGGGGAGGGGGGATGGGTTTAGAAGGGGGCGTGGCTTGGAGGTAACGTGAGGAGGGAGGAGGGGAGGGGGGATGGGTTTAGAAGGGGCGTGGCTTGGGGGTAAGGTGAGGAGGGAGGAGGGGAGGGGGATGGGTTTAGAAGGGGGCGTGGCTTGGAGGTAACGTGAGGAGGGAGGAGGGGAGGGGGGATGGGTTTAGAAGGGGGCGTGGCTTGGAGGTAACGTGAGGAGGGAGGGGGGGATGGGTTTAGAAGGGGGCGTGGCTTGGAGGTAAGGTGAGGAGGGAGGAGGGGAGGGGGGATGGGTTTAGAAGGGGGCGTGGCTTGGAGGTAAGGTGAGGAGGGAGGAGGGGAGGGGGGATGGGTTTAGAAGGGGGCGTGGCTTGGAGGTAAGGTGAGGAGGGAGGAGGGGGGGGGGATGGGTTTAGAAGGGGGCGTGGCTTGGAGGTAACGTGGGGAGGGGGATGGGTTTAGAAGGGGCGTGGCTTGGGGGTAAGGTGGGAGGAGGGGAGGGGGGATGGGTTTAGAAGGGGCGTGGCTTGGGGGTAAGGTGAGGGGGGGAGGGGGGATGGGTTTAGAAGGGGGCGTGGCTTGGAGGTAAGGTGAGGAGGGAGGAGGGGAGGGGGGATGGGTTTAGAAGGGGGCGTGGCTTGGAGGTAACGTGGGGAGGGGGATGGGTTTAGAAGGGGCGTGGCTTGGGGGTAAGGTGGGAGGAGGGGAGGGGGGATGGGTTTAGAAGGGGCGTGGCTTGGGGGTAAGGTGAGGAGGGAGGAGGGGAGGGGGGATGGGTTTAGAAGGGGGCGTGGCTTGGAGGTAATGTGAGGAGGGAGGTGGGAGGGGGGATGGGTTTAGAAGGGGCGTGGCTTGGGGGTAAGGTGAGGAGGGAGGAGGGGAGGGGGGATGGGTTTAGAAGGGGGCGTGGCTTGGAGGTAACGTGAGGAGGGAGGGGGGATGGGTTTAGAAGGGGCGTGGCTTGGGGGTAAGGTGGGAGGAGGGGAGGGGGGATGGGTTTAGAAGGGGCGTGGCTTGGGGGTAAGGTGAGGAGGGGAGGGGGGGATGGGTTTAGAAGGGGGCGTGGCTTGGAGGTAACGTGAGGAGGGGAGGGGGGATGGGGGCGCGCGCGCGCGTGTGTGCCGCGCGGGGGGGAGAGGGGGCGCACACGCGCGCGTGTGTGCCGCGCCAGGGGAGTGAGGGGGCGCGCGGGCGCGCGTGCGTGCGTGTGCCGCACCGGAGGGGGGAGAGGGGGGGGCGCGCGCACGCGCGTGTGCCGCGCCGGGGTGTGTGAGGGGGACGCGCGCGCGTGTGTGTGCATGTGTGTGTATGCCGCGCCGGGGGGGGTGTGAGGGGGCACGCGCGCGCGTGTGTGTGCATGTGTGTGTGTGCCGCGCCGGGGGGTGTGAGGGGGCGCGTGCGCGCATGTGTGTGCATGTGTGTGTGTGCCGCGCCGGGGGGTGTGAGGGGGCACGCGCGTGCGTGTGTGTGCATGTGTGTGTGTGCCGCGCCGGGGGGGGTGAGGGGGCGCGCGCGCGCGTGTGTGTGCATGTGTGTGTGTGCCGCGCCGGAGGGGGGAGAGGGGGCGCGTGCGCGCGCGTGTGTGCCGCGCCGGGTGGGGTGGGGGGTGTGCGCGCGTGTGTGCCGCGCCGGGTGGGAGAGGGGGCACGCGTGTGTGTTTGTGTGCCGCGCCGGGGGGGGGGAGGGGCCGTGCGCGTGCCTGTGTGTGTGCCGCGCCGGGGGGGAGGGTGTGGGGCCATGTGTGTCCGCGCCAGGGAGTTTGCGCCAGTGCGCATGCTCAGTTGCTTTGTCGTTTATTGTGGTTGTTGTTGTGTGTTTTTGATTTCTGAGTGGATTAGTTTGTACCTTGTTGGTTGCCCTTGGGGCATGGGAAGTTTGGTGGCGTTTCGTTGGGGGGTTTTTGAGTTTTGTTTCGCCATACGACGCCAGGAGGAAATTTATATATATAGATTCACACACATATGTTTATGACAGATATAGTACCACCTCCCTGGTGACCCCCCCCCCCCAGGGTCTTGACTTCCCAGGTTGAGAAATGCTGCCTTAAGGCCATCCAGTCCAACTCCTTTCACCAGGGCAAGAAAACATATTCAAAGCCCCCCCGACAAAGGGCCATCCAGCCATTCACACACACATATGTATTAGGCTTGGTTGATCGTGTTCGTTAGTTTCTAAAGTCGTTAAGAATTCGTATTTAAATTAGCTTCGAACCAATATCGAGCCATGCAGGAATAGGAGAGCAACTAAAATGATAAAGGGTGTGGAGAACAAGCCCTATGAGGAGCGGCTTAAGGAGCTGGGCATGTTTAGCCTGAAGAAGAGAAGGCTGAGAGGGGATATGATAGCCATGTATAAATATGTGAGAGGAAGCCACAGGGAGGAGGGAGCAAGCTTGTTTTCTGCTTCCCTGGAGACTAGGACGCGGAACTATGGCTTCAAACTACAAGAGAGGAGATTCCGTCTGAACATGAGGAAGAACTTCCTGACTGTGAGAGCCATTCAGCAGTGGAACTCTCTGCCCCGGAGTGTGGTGGAGGCTCCTTCTTTGGAAACTTTTAAACAGAGGCTGGATGGCCATCTGTCAGGGGTGATTTGAATGCAATATTCCTGCTTCTTGGCAGGGGGTTGGACTGGATGGCCCATGAGGTCTCTTCCAACTCTTGATTCTATGATTCTATGATTATGTATCAGAATTCATGCATAACTTGAGACATGGGGATTTACATGCCATAATATAATAATAATAATATAATAATATTATATTATATTATATTATATTATTATAATACTATTATATTATAGTATTGTATATTATATTATTATATTATATATTATATTATTATTGAATATTATATTATATTATTATATTATGTTATTATTATAACAACAAAAATAGCTAGAAGCACTTAATTCAGTGTATTTATTTATTTATTTATTTACTTCATTTGTTGACCGCCGCTCTCAGCCCTGGGGCGACTCGCGGCGGTGTACAACATGTAAAAACAGTCTACAAAAACATACAATATAACAACAACAACAACCGAATTACACATTAATCTAAATCACACTAATAGATCCGCGCCATCACAACATAGAATCATAGCCAATCTCATAATCCATAGTCCGTTCCAAATGTCATTACCAGATTCGTGTGGGTCTCAATTAAATGCCTTCTCGAATAGCCAGGTCTTTAAGCTCTTACGAAAAGCCATAAGGGAGGGCGCCTGTCTGATGTCGACAGGGAGGGTGTTCCACAGCCGGGGGGGCCACCACTGAGAAGTTCTATCAAGAACTTAAAGTCTGTAGCAAATTGCTGTACAAAAAACGTAACTTAGCAAATAATCCGGATTATCCTGGTATATAATCTGGGATAACAGAACATTCAAGCAAACTGCTTCAAAATCACAGGGTTAGAAAACACAAGGAAACAAGGTGGAAGCAAGGAAAAGCGTTATCAAAAAACTGTCCCAAGCCCATAGATATAGTATCATAGATTTGAAAGGGACCCCTAAAGTAGGACAATTCTATGTTGCATGTTCCCGAGTAGGCAAACTAGACAATCTCCACATCGACACTGACAAAGAAACAGCAAGAAATACTGTTTACCCACAAACATCAAGACATTACATATATTAGAAACCAACACTTTCTCATTACTTTATTTTCCAGATCACCAGACTAGGCCACAGCAATGCCTGGCAGGGGACCGCTAGTAAATACATAAATAAATAAATATTTCTGCTCCCAAACACTTTGCATAAGGGAAACTCAACCTATACTATATTTCTGTCCATTGTCGTTTCCTCCCCATGTTTGCTCTTTTCATAGGGCTGCTCCATCTCCGAATCCTTTGCCTCTTTGGACTTTCCTGCTTGAGGGTCGTTTAGACGAGAAGATCCACCAATGGAAGACGGGCCGATCACCATCAAAAAGAACCGCAGAGTGAAGCCCAAAGGTCACTTCCGTTTTCAGGCACAGAATTACGAAAATGAGCCCTTCGTTTCCTGCCTGTCGGGATTCTACAGTGGTCGGTGGAAGCGGTACGAGCGGAACAGAGTGAGGCCGGGGAAGTCCTGCTGCAACGTGGTAAATATGGACTTTTGGGATTTAATGGAGTGGCTTGGGCATACTTTACTGTTATTGAGAAATCAGACCCCCCCTCCCCAATTTATTTATTTATTTAGCAAATTCAGAATACAGCTATAATGTATCGAAAGCCCACGGTGGCGCAGTGGGTTAAACATTTGTGCCAGCAGGACTGGACAGTGGTTTGAATCCAGGGAGAGTGGATTGAGCTCCCTCTGTCAGCTCCAGCTCCCCATGCAGGGACATGAGGGTAGCCTCCCACAAAGATGGTAAAACATCAAAACATCCGGGTGTCCCCTGGACAACATCCTTGCAGACAGCCAATTCTCTCACACCAGAAGCGACTTGCAGTTTCTTATGTCATTCCTGACATGAAAAAAAAGTATTGAAAAATCACAAAGTTAAAAACTTGGCATTATACTAAATTTCCTTTGGCCTGAAGCTGGCTACTTGAAGTGCCTCTGGTTTTTCTGTAAGAAGGTCCCCGATTGTGCATGTGGCAGGGCTTAGGTTGCATTGTACCAAGTGGTCTGTGTTTTGCTATTCTCCACATTCGCATGCCATGGACTCCACTTCGTAACCCCATTTCTTAAGATTGGCTCTGTGTATCTCATGGTACCAGAGCACAGTCTGTTCAGTGCCTTCCAAGTTGCCCTGTCTTCTGTGTGCCCAGAAGGGAGTTTCTCATCTGGTTTCAGCCACTGATTGAGGTTCCAATCTGATTCTAACATGGGGTGTGTGCTGGTACGTCTGTACCAGGAGCTCCAACTTTATTTTCTTTCTATTTAGTGTTTGCATGCATTCCAAAATTTCAGGGATTCTGCAAAAAGGTGGTTTGCAGTCATAAGGCAAGCCGCCTGTCGATCATTGTTAAGTTTGGATCTGCCCAGAGGTGGCCCTAGGTAATTTTCAACAGTAAGCAAACAGTATTTTGCCCCCCCCCCAACCAAACATTGATATATATTTTCTGTTCGTCGTGGGAGTTCTGTGTGCCATATTTGGTTCAATTCCATCATTGGTGGAGTTCAGAATGCTCTTTGATTGTAGGTGAACTATACATCCCAGTAACTACACTTGCCGCACTTGCTCCCTTGCCTGGCCCGCTTTGGGTCCGGAGGCTGGTGCCCCAAAAGTCACCTCTTCTCCTGACTTTCTCCTCAGCCATTGGGACCAGAGAGAGAGAGAGAGACAGAGAGGTGGAGATGCCCACCTTTCCTGAAGGTGGGCGCAAAAACAAAGGAGGGAGCGGAGGTGGGAGATACCTCCAGCCGGAGGGGCTCTCTCTCTCTCTCTCTTGGTCCCAATGGCTGAAGAGAAAGTCAGGAGAAGAGGCGACTTTTGGTACGTACACTGGGGTCTTCAGACATGCCTCTGGACCTGAAGCGGGCCAGGTGTGACGGCTCCGCCCCTTGGCCCACCTGCGGATTGGGGAGAGGAGAGGAGGCGGGTGGAGCACTGGGGGATCAGGAAAGGGAGCCGGTCATGGGGAAGGGATCGAACATGGAGAACAATTGAGTGCCAGCTCTGCTTGCGCACCCGGTGGCCAGGTGGAGCAGGAACGAGAGGGGCTAGGAGGCTCAAGGGCCCGGCCCCTTTGGGAAGAGGATCGCCCGGCAGCGAGGCAAGAAAGCCGAGGCTCCCCCCGGACTGCTAGGGCTGTTGTGAGCTGAGGGGGCGCTCCTCAAGTGGCGGTCGAGGGGCATTTACAGAGGCGCCTCTGAGCCCCTGGCAAAAAAAAGTGTTCTGCGACCGCTTACTTCATGTAATGGACGAGCCGCCCCTGGATCCATCCCTTCTCCCAGGGAGAATGGAAGGGAAGAGGGGGCCATTTTTAGTTAGTCTTAGTGAGGAAAGCTAAGTTAGAGGACGTGGACAAGCTTCACCTGCAGAAAAGCTTCATTTCTCAAGACATTCCGGGGGAAAATTCCCAAAGCTCTGGCTGGGAGCTTGCAGCCTCTCAGCCTTACAGCATCTGAGGGAAACAGCCCTAAAGTCTTAAAGAAATTCCAGAGGGAAAACAGCTTTACAGACCCAAAGAACTCCAGCTGGAGAATCTACAAGCTTTGTCTGGTAGGTTTACTCGGTACCAAGACGCAGTTTGGAATCGGTAGTAGATCCCACACCAACAAAACTTAGATAACAGACAGCCTGGGAGAGGTTAAAAAAGGGTTTTCCTCTCAAAGTATAAGAACAATTAACAAAGACAGTTGCCTGTCCCTTGTGGACAAGATTAAGGAAGCCACCAGTTGATTTAAAGCCTTGAACCATTTGTTTGACTCAATGAAGATTTGAAAAGTATCTGTTTAATTTGTTCAATAATAAAGGACTTTGTTTAACTTTTCAAGCCATCTAAAGACCATTTCTTCAGAAAAATCCTTGAGGGCCTCTTTTGTGGTGCCCTGGCTTCCCTCTGGGCACAAGGTGCACGTGCTATTTCAAAAGACAATTATTACAGGCCCAGTGCGTGACAGAACAGGGTGCATCTTAGAATCGCAGGTGTAAAAAACCAAGATCATGGCAACAAGAATGATTGACAACTGGAAAGTAGAGGGAGAAAATGTGGAGGCCGTGACAGACTTTGTATTTCTAGGCGCAAAGATGACTGCAGATGCAGATTGTGGCCAGGAAATCAGAAGACGCTTCCTTCTTGGGAGGAGAGCAATGTCCAATCTCGGTAAAATAGTGAAGTGTAGAGACATCAGACTGGCAACAAAGATCCATTGCCTAGTCAAAGACATGGTATTCCCTGTAGTAACCTACGGATGTGAGAGCTGGACCTTAGGGAAGGCTGAGCGAAGGAAGGGAGATGCTTTTGAGCTGTGGTGTTGGAGGAAAGTTCTGAGAGTGCCTTGGACTGCGAGAAGATCCAACCAGTCCATCCTCCAGGATACTAGAGACACAGTTGAAGTACATTGGCCACATCATGAGGAGACAGCAAAGCCTGGAGAAGACAATGATGCTGGGGAAAGTGGAAGGCAAAAGGAAGAGGGGCCGACCAAGGGCAAGATGGATGGATGGCATCCTTGAAGTGACTGGACTGACCTTGAAGGAGCTGGGGGTGGTGACGGCCGACAGGGAGCTCTGGCGTGGGCTGGTCCGTGAGGTCCATGACGACTGAACGAATGAACAACAACACCTTATATATTGTTGTTGTTGGTACTGAAATTAGGATGGGTCTTATAATCGAAGAAATACCGTAAATACAATGATCGTTTCCTCTGATTCTTGCTTGCAGGCAGAGGGCATCTTTTTGATGCTGCTGATCACCACCTTCTCCTTGTGGCTCATCTTTACATACCTCTGGAGTCAAACGAAGAATGACTACTACGCCTTTGACGAGTAGGTGGAACTCTTTACGTGAAAAGGACCCTTGTCAGGAAAGGTCTTGTTGCCTTTCCCACTGATAAGATCATTACATAGTGGACTTTCAGGCCCCTTTCCCACAGCTGTATAAAATCCACATTGAACATGATTATATGACAGTGTGGACTCAGATAATCCGGTTCAAAGCTGATATTGTGGATATCTGTCTTGATATTCTGGGTTATATGGCTATGTGGAAGGTCCCTCAGTTAATTGGCACTCTTAAGGAACTGTTGGGGGTGGGATCAAAGAAATTTTAATTTATTAATTTATTATTACACCATTTTTTGGATCAACCAAACCTACTGTTTACACCAAAAAGTTCCCAGGTCTGTAATTGTCAGCGGTTCAGCACTTTTCATGCCACAGTCAATCTTCACCTTTTCCATAATGTCATTTTAGGCCCCAATCTTCTTAGGATGGTGTCTTCAGTTTAGCCAAGCCTTAATAGGCCCTTAGCCAGACCCCAATCATACAATTTCATTCAATCCACACATCACATCAATTCAATAACCTCCAGAGGAGGAGACTCCACTGGACTCCCAGGCGGTCTATACTTGACGACAGTTGTAAGGGATCCGCAAAGGGCATCTAGTCAAACCCCCACCTGCCAGGCAGGAATGCACAGTCAAAGCTCTCCCAACAGGTAGCCATCCAGCCTCAATTTAAAAACACTGAGAGAGGCTTAAGCACCACAGATTTGACATTCTGGCTCTGTACAAGTGGGGATGGTTGCACAATGTGTGATTTGGGTTACAGTAATGACCATTTAAATGGATAAGTTTCATGACTGGGGTGAGAGGTGTCTTATTTGGGGATAAAGTGCCCTAATTTCCCCCTCTTTCTATAGCTACATCCTGGAAGTTGGGTTATCACAGAGCAAATAATATATTATACTAGCTGTCCCTTGCCATGCGTTGCTGTGGCCCAGGCTGGTGAGCTGGAAAATAAAGTAATGCTCTTTGATTGTAGGTGAACTATACATCCCAGTAACTACAACTCCCAAATGTCAAGGTCTATTTCCCCCAAACACCATCTGTGTCCATATTTGGGCATATGGAATATCCGCACCACGTTTGATCCAGATCCATCATTGTTTGAGTCCACAGTGCTCTCTGGATGTAGGTGAACTATGACTCCCAAACTCAAGGTCAATGCCCATCAAACTCTTCAAGCGTTTGGTTCATTTGGTTCAATTTCGTTCAATTCCATCATTGGTGGAGTTCGGCATGCTCTTTGATTGTAGGTGAACTATAAATCCCAGCTACTACAACTCCTAAATGTCAAGATTCTATTTTCCCCAAACTCCACCAGTGTTCACATTTGGGCATATTGAGTATTCTTGTAGAGTTTGGTCCAGATCCATCATTGTTTGAGTCCACAGTGATCTCTGGAGGTGAACTACAACTCCCAAACTCAAGGTCAATGCCCACCAAGCCCTTCCAGTATTTTCTGTTGGTCATGGGAGAACTGTGTGCTAAGTTTGGTTCAATTCCATCATTGGTAGGGTTCAGAATGTTCTTTGATTGTAGGTGAACTATAAATCCTGGCAACTACAACTTCCAAATGACAAAATCATTTTTTTTTAGTGAAGGACATACATTGGGTTGAGTTATGTTAATCCCACAAACTGACATTACATTTTTATTTATATAGATTTGCAATATTTGCAAAGTTGCAATTTTTTGCAAATATTACACTTTGGAAGACAACTCTCAGAAACTTCCCAACCAACTCAATTGCTTATACAATTGCTTATTTCACTGTCACTTCTCATCTTATATGTGATTTTTGTTTTGTTTTGTTAAATCTTTAGGTACAGCTTTGACAACATGGGCTTCTGGTTTCAGTGGTCTGTTTTCCTCCTAATAATATGTTCGTTCATCCTCTCCTACCTTTCTTTCTTAATGGTGAGTCCTGCCCTTTTTATTGAGAAACTCGTGATAAGGGACAAATACCAATCTTACAGGGACAAGCTTTTGATCCCTTATGAGAACAGATAGCTGGCTGCCATAGGGACAAAACACATACTTTGTGTATAAAATATTCCCGTTTCAATCCCTAGCTTATTTGAGCAGGTAAGCAAAGTGTTAGCTTTTGCCCCATGGAACTGGGAAATTTTGTTTCTGTTCAATGTTTGATGTTTTGTCTTATGTCTGTTGTAACAGGCTGTGGTTTTATTTAATTTTATTTGTAAAGTCATAATTTTGTGTTTATATGTCGGGTTGTTTAAATTTTGTTAGTATGGATGTATTGTTGTTTGGAATCCGCCCTGAGTCCCTCGGAATATAAATTATTATTTGAAACAGAACTAACTAAATGAGTCCACAGCAGAAAAGATCACACTGCTGGTTGTTGCATAGGATCACACGTCGGACACTTCCCAAGTGTCTAGGACTGTGTGATGTATTGGCGAATAATGCGTGCAGATCCCAGTAGGGTGGCCTTCTGCAGCTGACAGATGGTAATTTTGTGTTTAAGTGCAGGCCAAGGACTTTAGGCATTGCACCCAGTATGCCGATCACCACTGGGACCACCTTGACTGGCTTGTGCCAGAGTCTTTGCAGTTCGATCTTTAAATCCTCCTGTCGTGTCAGCTTTTCCAGCTGTTTCTCTTCAATCCTGTTGTCCCCTGGGATTGCAACATCGACGATCCATACTTTCCAAAAATCCACAAGCATGTGGACAATTTCAACAGAAAAGAGGAAACCATGAAAATGAACAAAATCTGGCTACCTGGATTAAAAAAAACTCTAAAATTAGAACAGCACAACAACAGAGAGGAAACAAACAAGGACATCTAATCACCTCTCAACAAAAGATTGCCCCAGGCACTGCCAGGCAATCAAATGCTAATCAGGGTGGTCAGTTGAAACATTCACACCTAGCTCCAGCAGACAAGAGTCCTTTGTCCCACCCTGGTCATTCCACAGATATATAAACCCTTTTTTCCTAATTCCAACAGACCTCACTACCTCTGAGGATGCTTGCCATAGATGCAGGCGAAATGTCAGGAGAAAATGCCTCTACAACATGGCCACAGGAAAACCTACAACAACCCAGTGATTCCGGCCATGAAAGCCTTCAACAATACATTGATCCATACTTTGTTTTTTAACATGATCGTGAGATCAGGAGTATTGTGCTCCAAAACTCTGTCTGTCTGAATTCGGAAGTCCCAGAGTAGCTTGACGTGTTCATTTTCTGTAACTTTTGCCGGCTTGTGATCCCACCAGTTCTTTGTCAGGCAGATGGTATTTGTGTCACAAGTTCCAAGGAATCGTCTGAGCAATGGTGTTATGCCTCTGCTTGTAGTCTATCTGCGCTAGTAGTAGGAAAGTGATTTCTTATTAAATTGTTTTTTCTCTAAAATATTGCATAGTTACTAATTATGTGCATTCGGGACTTACCTTGATTCATTTTGTGCCCCGGCTCTCAGTGGGCCCCTGGTCTATTTTCGTCTGAACTTCTGAAAATCGGGAAGTCAGATATTTGTTTTTTTGTTTTCAGCGCCGAAAGATCCATTTTCTTTTGGCCTAAGGGTGCAGGCTTTGGGTCTATGCACCCAGATCTCAGAGGGCCTGCAGCCAAGCACTGAGTAAGGAGCGCTCCTTACTCAGCGTTCAGTTGCAGGCGCTGCCAGGCCCCAGGCAATTGATCCAAAAAGCAGGCTTGGAGCTGGTACCCGCTCTTGCCTGTCTTTCGTATTGATTGCATTTTCGTTCCAGGATAGGCCTTCCATTTCGTGCCATCCGAATGGACGGAACAAAATGGAAACACTAATCAAACTAATGGGACAAATTTTAGGCCAATGACTAATAGATATTTGTATCTATTGTTTGTGTTTTATATTTTTATTTGTATGTTTACATTTTTTTTCTTTTCATAGTTGTTACTATATTGTTGAAATGAAATTTAATGAACTTTTAAAAACCCGAATTTTTAACAGTCATTGGCTAAAGTGCTGTGATATGATGAAAGGTTGCAATGACCTTTGGCTACGTTATAACACATCATCTCTGAATGCTTTTATAGATCCTAGCAGTGTGCCTGCTGACAAACACTCAACAGTTGTATCTGCACTGGATTCACAAGGTAAACACCAGCTATTCTACTAGCTTTTCCTTGGCATGTAATTAAGACGTTCTTCTCTTGAAAGAATACGCTTAGTCTCAGTTTTAAACCTATAGTCATTACTTTCCTGAAGAAAAACAATGTGAGTCTTGGGTTGGATCTCTTTCCTTGCAGGCTCAAACTAGACATTATTGTTCCCTTCATGCCTTCCACTTGTCCCAAGTTTGGCAGGAACTTTAAAAATATCAAAGATACTTTTTTCCTTCTCCCATTTTCTCCCTTTGTCCTCAACTTGCCATGTATCAGATTCTGCAAAGCTGAGTCCAAGTTGCCGAACTAAATTAATTCCGCAAAACTGAGTCCAAGTTGCCGAACTCAATTAACTTAGTAGCAGGAGAAAGCTGAACCTTGCCCTTCTCCGTAGACTCCGGGTGCATCTACACCAGGGGTTTCCAACCCGTGGGTCACGGTAGAAAACTAAAATCAGGTCCGTGGCTCTAGGTTATTAAATGTGGTTTTCTGTGGGCGAGCAGATGGTGACTACTGGATGGCATATGTTCTGTATCAGAAACTAGAACTGATGTGGTCTATCCAATGCAGTTTTTTGAATCAGCACCCCAAAGAACCAAACCGAACCTAAAGTTGACCAAAAACCGATTTGTAACCCTTTTGGTACTAATGTTGGAGAGTGGTTGTGCTGGTACGGCTGTACCAGGAGCCTCAGCTTCATTTTCTTTCTATTGAGTGTTTGCATATATTCCAAGATTCCATGCATTTGCAACAAGGTGGCTTTCCTTGGTTTGCAATCACAGGGCTAGCCACCTGTCTATCAATGTTAAATTTTGGTTCCGCCCCTTTCCCCAGGGCCATGGGAAGAGAGGGAGCCATTTTTAGTTCAGTCTTATAGTGGAAAGCTAGGCTACAGGACGTGGATTAGCTCCATCTGTAGAAAAGCTTCATTTCCTACAGCATCCGGGACAGAAATTCCTGGGAAATTTATTTATTTGGAGTGCTTTTACCCCGCCCTTCCCAACCCCCTAAGGGGGACTCAGGGTGGCTTACAAAAGGCACAATTCGATGCCTAACAATTACAACATACAATACACTATACAATACACAAATTTACCACATAATATCACAGTTATAACTAATTAAAACCATCAGACAGTATACTAGCAGCAATAAAACATCTTGTGGTCAGTGTTCACCAAATCCAAGTCCGTAAACCATTTAGCATTGTCATTGTCCTTTCCTACTCTGGTCATTATTGGTTGTCTTTGTCCATCTGCCAGCTTACCCGAAGGCCTGGTCCCACATCCAGGTTTTTAGCTTCTTCCTGAAGGAGAGGAGGGATGTTGATGTCCTAATTTCCCCGGGGAGTGCATTCCACAGGCGAGGGGCCACCACCGAGAAGGCCCTGTCCCTCGTCCCCACCAGTCTCGCTTGTGATAAAGGTGGGGCCGAGAGCAGGGCCCCCCCCAGCAGATCTTAAACTCCGAGGTGGGACGTAGAAGGAGATACGTTCGGACAGGTACGCGGGAAAAACAGTCCCAAAGCTCTGGCTGGGAGCTTACAGCCTCTCAGCTTTACAGCATCTGAGGGAAACAGTCCTAAAGTTTAGGAAGAAAACAGTTTTGCAGACCCAAAGAACTCCAGCTGGAGAATCTACATAGCCTTGACTGGTAGGTCTACTTGGGACCCAAGACGCAGATTGGAACCAGTAGTAGAACCCACATCAGCAAAGCTTAGACAGTAGATTGCCTGGGAGGGGTTAAAAAAGGGGTTTTCCTTGTTAAGGAAAGAAATAGTTCTCCAAGCAAGGTGCCTGCCCATTTTGGGGCAAGTGAAGAAGCATTTGTTTAATCTGTTGAAGATCCAAGAAGTGTTTGTTGTTTTATTGAAGACCTAAGCAATAATAAAGAACTTTGTTAAACATTTCAAGCCTTTTAAAGACTGTGTATGGGAAAATCCTCGAAGGCCTCTCACCCGAGGCACCCCAGCTCCCCGCTGGACACAAAGAGCACGTCCTGTTTAAAAAATCAATTATTACAGGCCCAGCGCATGGCAGCACAGTGGTCCCTGGTCAAAGTTGTCCCTAGTCAAGTGGTCCCTGGTCAAAAAAAAAAGTTTGGGAACCGCTAATCTACACTGTAGATTCGGTGCAATTTGACTCCATTTGCTAATGGAATAATGGAAATTGTAATTTGGTGAGGCACCAGCAGTCTTTGCGAGAGAAGGCTAAAGGCCTGGTAAAACTACAACTCTCAGGACTCTGTAACATTGAGCCGTAGAGTGGCTAAAGTGGCATCAAGCTGCATTAATTCTACAGTGTAGAACAGGGGTCTTCAAACCTTTTAAACAGAGGGCCAGGTCACAGTCCCTCAAACTGTTGGAGGGCCGGATTATAATTTGAAAAAAACATGAATTAATTCCTGTGCACACTGCACATATCTTATTTGTATTGCAAAAAACCCTTAACAAGACAAATAATACAATAATTAAAATAACAATTTTAACAAATATAAACTTATTAGTATTTCAATGGGAAGTGTGGGTCCGCTTTTGGCTGATGAAATAGGATTGTTGTTGTTGTGTGCATTCAAGTCGTTTCAGACTTAGGTTGACGCTGAGTGAGGGCTGGGTAAAACACCTTGGAGGGCCGTATCCGGCCCTCGGGCCTTAGTTTGAGGACCCCTGGTGTAGAATAATCAAGTCTCAGGCAAAAGCAAACTGCTGTCACTTCTCCTAACTCATTGGTCCCCGTCCCCCCCGCCCAGTAATACTAAGGAAGTTGTTATTGTTAGCTGCCTTCAGTCCCTATGGAGGAGCCCCTGGTGGCGCAGTGGGTTAAACCCCTGTGCTGGCAGGACTGAAGAACGACAGGTCACAGGTTCAAATCTGGGAAGAGGTGGATGAGCTCCCTCTATCAGCTCCAGCTCCTCATGCGGGGACGTGAGAGAAGCCTCCCACAAGGATGATAAAACATCAAATCATCCGGGCGTCCCCTGGGGAACGTCCTTGCAGGCGGCCAATTCTCTCACAACAGGAGTGACTTGTAGTTTCTCAGGTCGCTCCTGACACGACAAAAAAAAAAAAAAAGACCCTATGGGGAGACTGAAAATAACAATAATACCACTAACAGCAACAACTTTTCCATCTTGACTGCAACTGGATGTAGCTTGCTCACACATGTCCTGGAGCGCCCATTGGTGCAATTGGTTAACCCTTGTGCTGACCAAAAGGGTGGTGGTTCGAATCTGGGGAGCGGGGTGAGCTCCCATCTGTCAGTTCCAGCTTCTCATATGAGGACATGAGATAAACCTCTCACAGGATGGTAAAACATCCAGGCGTCCCCTGGGCAACAACCTTGCAGATGGCCAATTCTCTCAGTTTCTCAAGTTGCTCCTGACATGGGAAAAAAAAAACATGTCCCAGTTTCTTCTGAGAAATGCTGAAGGTAAAGCAGCATGGAAGATCACTTTGAGCAATTTGTCCTGCCCCCCAAGCATTTTAATAGGGTCCATTGGGGTCCCTGTTGTAGGATTTGGCTGACCTCATAGGCTATTACTTGCAGCCGAGTATGATTGCCTTCCAAGTGTAGGGTCTTGGTGGTGAGTCTGAAGGTCTCTACAGTCTCCTCTGCTTTTTGGCTGAAACCATAAAGAGGGAGCATGGCACATAACCTCTTCACCTTTGGTCTTACAGATGGGGACATTGTCCACCTTTGGTGTCGCCATTACTGCTTTTACCATTATACAAACTCTGTGGAGTTCGCAATGGACAACAGTCTACCTGTCCTTTCAGGTAAGGAAACAGAGTCAGGTGAGCTTCATGGAGTTGTATTTTTACAAGATCCTTAGTCTCCTCTGCCAATGAGTGGTGGTGCCTCACCAAACTATCAGTCCCAGGATTCCATGGCGTTGAGCCAGGGCAGCTAAAGCGTTGCCATAGTATAGATTGGCCAGCCTATGCTTACCAGTTTTATGTGGTCATATTGGTTTTGGGATTCAGGGACGGGCATCCCAAATATTAAAATAATAACATGTTCTGGACCTCCACTGGCATTTGCAATGTTGATAATCAGGATCAGTTTAAGGTGTTGTGTTTTTCAGCACATTGTAATGGTGGATGCATCACAAATTTCTTGAAGGCTTTCATGGATGGAATCACTGGGTTGTTGTAGATTTTCCGGGCTATATGGCCATGTCCTAGAAGCATTCTCTCCTGATGTTTCACCTGCATCTATGGCAAGCATCCTCAGAGGTTGTCCTGCCATAGATGCAGGCGAAACATCAGGAGAGAATGCTTCTAGAACATGGCCATATAGCCCGGAAAACCTACAACAACCCACATCACAAATTTATTTATTTATTTCGACAATCGGCAACCATTAGATGCCAGGCATTGAATTAGCAAACATAATTAAAACAACCAATAAAACAATGTATTGTCGAAGGCTTTCATGGCTGGAATCACTGGGTTGTTGAAGATTTTTTGGCTTATATGGCCATGTTCTAGAAGCATTCTCTACTGACGTTTCGCCTGCATCTATGGTAGGCATCCTCAGAGATTGTGAGGTTGTCACAACCTCTGAGGATGCCTGGCATAGATGCAGGCCAAACGTCAGGAGAGAATACTTCTAGAACATGGCCATATAGCCCGAAAAACCTACAACAACCCAACCATTAAAATAATAATAATAATAATAATAATAATAATAGTAATAATAATAAAACTTTATTTATACCCGCTACCATCTCCCCAAGGGACTCGGTGCGGCTTACATGAGGCCAAGCCCACAGTACATCAATAAACAAAAACAAAAACAATCAATACAATTAATACAAATCACATAAACAATAAACAATAAACAGTAACACACAAGCATTTAAAAACCTATTGCCAGGCCAATTGTAATAGTTTAAAATTTAAAAAATAACCCTGGGCATGAACGAGGTAGGATATAACTGGTATAGGGTTTTCAAAGAGAAAACAATTATAAACCTTAAAGATTTAAAATTCGAAAACATCGCCAGTTTAAAATTATGATCCAAGATCAGTCCATTGCCGGTTGTATCAATCAGTCACATTCAAATCACCAAATCTATTGCACAAAGGTTTGACCCCAGGACTAGTTCTTGAGATATATAAAGGTAAAGGTAGTCCCCTGACATTAAGTCCAGTCATGTCTGACTCTGGGGTGTGGTGCTCATCTCCATTTCTAAGCCGAAGAGCCAGCGTTGTCCGTAGACACCTCCAAGGTCATGTGGCCGGCATGACTGCATGGAGCGCCGTTACCTTCCCGCCGGAGCGGTACCTATTGATCTACTCACATTTGCATGTTTTCGAACTGCTAGGTTGGCAGAAGCTAGGGCTGACAGCGGAAGCTCACGCCGCTCCCCGGAATCGAACCTGCGACCTTTCGATCAACAAGCTCAGCAGCTCGGTGCTTTAACCCACTGCGCCACCGGGGGCTCCCTTGAGATATATATATATATATATATATATATATATATATATATATATATATTGGAATACCAGGAGGGAAGGGGCAGATCTGATATCATTTGGGGGAGGGGGAGTTCCATAGCCGAGGAGCCACTACTGAGAAGGCCCTGTCTCTCGTCCACACCGGTCATGCTTGCAAGGGTGGTGGGACCAAGAGCAGGGCCCCTCCCGATGAACTTAGAGTCCTTAAAGGTTCGTAGAGGGAGTTACGTTCAGAAAGGTAAACTGGGCCAGAACTGTCTAGGGCTTTATAGGCTAGTGCCAGCACTTTGAATTGTGCTCGGTAACAGATTGGCAGCTAGTGGAGCGGGCATAACAGAGGGATTGTGTGCTCCCTGTATCCCACTCTTTTGAGCAATCTGGCTGCCGTTCGTTGGACTAGTTGAAGCTTCCAAGCAGTCTTCAGAGGGAACCCCATGTAGAGTGCGTTGCAGTAGTCTAAATGGGATGTTATAAGAGCATGGACTCTCTGGGATGGGTCTTGAGGGCACGGTTTTGTCATGGCTCCGATCCTTCCTGGAGGGTCGATCCCAGATGGTGAAGCTGGGAGACACCTGCTCGGACCCCTGGCGTTTGACCTGTGGGGTCCCGCAAGGCTCTATTCTGTCTCCCATGCTTTTTAACATCTACATGAAACCGCTGGGAGAGGTCATCCGGAGTTTTGGAGTTGGGTGCCATCTCTATGCAGATGACACACAACTCTACTACTCTTTTCCACCTAATTCCAAGGAGGCCTCTCGGGTGCTGGACGAGTGCCTGGCCGCTGTGTCTATCTGGATGAGGAGGAACAAGCTGAAGATCAATCCCGACAAGACAGAGGTCCTCCTGGTCGATCGTAAACCTGACCGGGGTATAGGGTGGCAACCTGTGCTGGACGGGGTTACACTCCCCCTGAAACCACAGGTTCGCAGTTTGGGAGTCCTCTTGGATTCATCGCTTACGCTTGAGGCTCAGGCGTCGGCGGTGTCTGGGAGGGCTTTCTCACAATTGAGACTCGTGCGCCAACTGCGACCGTACCTCGCGAAGGCTGATCTGGCCGGAGTGGTCCATGCCTTGGTCACCTCCAGATTGGACTACTGCAATGCGCTCTACGTGGGGCTGCCCTTGAAAACGGCTCGGAAGTTCCAACTGGTCCAATGGGCAGCAGCCAGGATGCTAACCGGTGCTCATTACAGAGAGAGGTCAACCCTCCTGTTTAAGGAGCTCCACTGGCTGCCGTTTATTTTCCGAGCCCAATTTAAGGTGCAGGTGCTTACCTACAAAGCCCTGAACGGTTTGGGACCACCCTACCTGCGTGACCGCATCTCCGTCTACGAACCCACGCGTTCACTTCGGTCATCTGGAGAGGCCCTGCTCGTGATCCCGCCTGCGTCGCAAGCGCGCTTGGTGGGGACTCGAGACAGGGCCTTTTCTGTGGTGGCCCCCCGACTCTGGAACACCCTCCCCAAAGATCTTAGACAGGCCCCTACATTGGCAGTCTTCAGAAAGAACTTGAAGACCTGGCTGTTCCGATGTGCCTTCCCAGAATAGGAAATCTCCAATACCAAGTCCCAGAAGCACTTTAGTAGAACTAAGATTGCCGCACACTGCACTTGCCCTATAAGCCTTATATACCACCTGTCACATCAGCACTTTTAATCCTGTACCCATTACTCTGGCCCGGCCCAGTTCTATTGTGTCTTAGTGTATTGTTTATTGCTTGTTGTTTATATTGCTTTAATTGTTTTTAATTTGCCTTAGGTTTTGTATTGTTATATTGTGTGTTGAGGCCTCGGCCTTTGTAAGCCGCATCGAGTCCTTCGGGAGATGCTGGCGGGGTGCAAATAAAGTTTAATAATAATAACAATAATAATAATAATAATACTGTGGCCAAGTCTGACTTCCCAAGGTACGGGTGCAGCTGGCGCACAAGCTCTAATTGTGCTAAAGCTCTCCTAGCCACCGCCGAAACCTGGGGTTCCAGGCTCAGCAATGAGCCCAGGATCACATCCAAGCTGCAAACCTGCGTCTTCAGGGGGGTGTAACCCTATATCCTGTTCGGCCTTGCGACTGACCAGGAGTACTTCTGTCTTGTCTGGATTCAATTTCAAATGGCTTGGAATAAACGTAAACCAGGCACCACAGTGGGAGAGTCATCGTATTGTATTGCTTTTTACTCTTAGCTGCTTTGAGTCTCTCTTGTTAAAGAGAGATAAAGCAGGATACAAATCATCATCGTCGTCCTCTCCTGGCTTCCTATGTGCCTGCTTGCGACCCACAAATCTTTAAGCACAGTCGCGTTCCCTTTTGTTCTTCCCATTTGTGGGCAACTTGTTAGCTCTTAACGCAACTTTGTTCCAAAGCAAAGCAAAAATGATGACTTTTTGTTTAATCTTCTCCATAGATCTCCGCTCCTTTTTTCCACTTTTTTTCCATCGTCGTCATGATCTTCCTGGCTTGGCCGGTGGGAAAGCATTTCTTTCAGGTGGAAAACAAAGGTACAGTCAGTCACTCCAGTTGGTAAGCTTGTGGCTCCCTCTTGCAAGGGATCACCATCAGTATTTCTTCCATAAGTGCTTTCTCATCCATCCTTCCATAATCAAAAGTTTGGAGACAATTCTGGGGGAAAGCTAAACCTAAACGCAGGCTCTCACCCTCTTTTTCTTTAAATGGCTAAATATTTAATCATTGAGCAGAACGAACATCTGACTTGGGGAATTTTCCCAGGTACAGTCCCTAATATCCCTGTGACGGCACGAGTGGCGCCACCTATATGTAGAACTGTAAGTTGCAGGATTTGAATTGTATCATGCCTGATTTTGCCCTTTTACCCTGTAAATGTATAGTTGGATTGATTGGTTATTTATAGCTGTCAATCAATGTTGCTTGCACCAGTTGAATTGCTCCTCCTGCTCAATTGTTTGACCCCACCTCTTCCTAGAGAGCAGGACAATGTTTCCTTTTCCATTCCACCATCAAACTTTCTATCAGATGGATGTGAGAGAGAGACTTGGCTCTGAAGCCCTTGATTAAGTTACCTCTCAGCACCAATTCTGAGGTTCTTACCCTTGAGACTTATGCTTCATGTTCAGATCAACCTGGACGACATTGAGAAGTCTCAAGCGCCTTCAAACCAGTTCTTTAGCACCAGAGGAAGGCTTTGTGCCTTCAAAATATAGGCCATTGGAATTGGAGTTGTGATTATTCTGATATTCACAGCCATTGAGAAAGAGGGACCTGGAAAAGCTTCTCAGCTGCAAAACTCCTTGGACCCAAGACAACCAGAGACTGTAATGTATATTTTCCTTTACCCCTTTGAAACTTCCAGCTTATTGCCTTAAAGGGATAACTCTTTGTGAACAATAAAACCCATTTTGAGTTATCTACAGTGTTTTGGTCCTTGGGAGTTCCAGTTTTCCTAAAGGAGGGCAAGAAGCAATCCCCTGGGAAGATGTCACGTCCATGCCTCTTTCACTAAGAGTTATAGCCCCCAGGCGTGACGGCACAATCCCCATCTAGAGTATATCTCTGGAGCTGCAGAAAATAAGCTTCCTCTGTCATCTACAAGGACAGACAGACAGGCCCCTGACCCACTTCTATTTATCACAGGATGCTGAAACTGCACATGTGTAATAATATAAGTCTTTATAGGTTACGTGCCAATTTACAACTGAACTGATAACAATCTTGATTTTACGAGAGCTGAAGTGGTGTGAGGTTTGATAATGGACCCAGTGGAATCCAAGTAGAATCCAAGGAGGTGTTCAATGAGATGAAAAGAGGTTCATCTTATATCAGGCATGGGCAAACTTTGGCCCTCTGGGTGTTTTGGACTTCAACTCCCACAATTCCTAACAGCCTACCGGCTGTTAGGAATTATGGGAGTTGAAGTCCAAAACACCCGGAGGGCCAAAGTTTGCCCATGCCTGTTTTAGATGGTCATAGGTCAGAAACAACTTGAAGGAACATGTTGGGGTTCAGCCTGATCCTGATCTGTGTGAACCGGATTCTCTGATAGTTTTTCCAACTGAGCAAGCTCTCCCTGACAGTGTGGAATCTGTTGTTGATGCTGAGGTCAGCGATGAGGAAAGTGAAACTGAACAGCTGGAGGAAAATGTTTTGGAAGCTAGCCGTGATATCTCTCCACCTGGGTTTTTTAATGAGGACCGAAGAGAACAGATAGTTAGAGACAGAAATGTTTCACAGTTTCTACGAAGGTCAAATCGTTTACAGGAGAGACAGGCCCAGGCTTCAAAGTCAAGGGGCGTTTCAAAGAATATCTTCTTTGGTTTAAGGGGCCTCCTGCCGGGTGTCTCTTTAGATCAAGCAACGTTTGGGACTGTGGCTGTGCCTTGGTAGAATTCCTGTACATCCGCCAGGAAGTAGCAGCCAATAGAATCATAGAATCAAAGAGTTGGAAGAGACCTCATGGGCCATCCAGTCCAACCCCCTGCCAAGAATCAGGAATATTGCATTCAAATCACCCCTGACAGATGGCCATCCAGCCTCTGTTTAAAAGCTTCCAAAGAAGGAGCCTCCACCACACTCCGGGGCAGAGAGTTCCACTGCTGAATGGCTCTCCCAGTCAGGAAGTTCTTCCTCATGTTCAGATGGAATCTCCTCTCTTGTAGTTTGAAGCCATTGTTCCGCGTCCTAGTCTCCAAGAAGCAGAAAACAAGCTTGCTCCCTCCTCCCTGTGGCTTCCTCTCACATATTTATACATGGCTATCATATCTCCTCTCAGCCTTCTCTTCTTCAGGCTAACCATGCCCAGCTCCTTAAGCCGCTCCTCATAGGGCTTGTTCTCCAGACCCTTGATCATTTTAGTCGCCCTCCTCTGGACACATTCCAGCTTGTCAATATCTCTCTTGAATTGTGGTGCCCAGAATTGGACACAATATTCCAGTGTGGTCTAACCAAAGCAGAATAGAGGGGTAGCATTACTTCCTTAGATCTAGACACTATGCTCCTATTGATGCAGGCCAAAATCCCATTGGCTTTTTTTTGCCGCCACATCACATTGTTGGCTCATGTTTAACTTGTTGTCCACGAGGACTCCAAGATCTTTTTCACACGTACTGCTCTCGAGCCAGGTGTCACCCATTCTGTATCTTTGCATTTCATTTTTTCTGCCAAAGTGGAGTATCTTGCATTTGTCACTGTTGAACTTCATTTTGTTAGTTTTGGCCCATCTCTCTAATCTGTCAAGATCGTTTTGAATTCTGCTCCTGTCCTCTGGACTATTGGGTATCCCTCCCAATTTGGTGTCGTCTGCAAACTTGATGATCATGCCTTCTAGCCCTTCATCTAAGTCATTAATAAAGATGTTGAACAGGACCGGGCCCAGGACGGAACCCTGCGGCACTCCACTTGTCACTTCTTTCCAAGATGAAGAGGAAGCATTAGTGAGCACTCTCTGTGTTCGTCCACTTAACCAATTACAGATCCACCTCACTGTAGTTTTGCCTAGCCCACATTGGACTAGTTTCCTTGCCAGAAGGTCATGGGGGACCTTGTCGAAGGCCTTACTGAAATCCAGGTACGCTACATCCACGGCATTCCCCGCATCTACCCAGCTTGTAAGCTCTATCGAAGAAAGAGATCAGATTAGTCTGGCATGACTTGTTTTTGATAAATCCATGTTGACTATTAGCGATGACTGCATTTGTTTCTAAGTGTTTGCAGACCGCTTCCTTAACAATCTTTTCCAGAATCTTGCCCGGTATCGACGTGAGGCTGACCGTAGACGGTAGTTGTTTGGGTCATCCTTTTTTCCCTTCTTGAAGATTGGGACCACATTGGCCCTCCTCCAATCTGCTGGAACTTCTCCCGTTCTCCAAGAACTCTCAAAGATGGTTGCCAATGGTTCCGAAATGACTTCCGCTAGTTCCTTCAATACTCTGGGGTGTAGTTGATCTGGCCCTGGGACTTGAACTCATTAAGAGCGGCCAGGTATTCCTGGACGACTTCTTTCCCAATTTGGGGTTGGATGTCCTCCAATCCCTCATCCACTCCATCTTGCTGAGGTTGAAGACTCTCTTTTTGTGAGAAGACCGAGGCAAAGAAGGCATTGAGTAGTTCTGCCTTTTCCCTATCCCCTGTCAGCATTGCCCCAGTCGATTGTGGCTGTGCCTTGGCAGAATTCCTGTGTTCCATGGCCGGTAATCCCAGAGGCTTCTAGTTTTCAAGTTCATGGTTAGCGAGAGGCTAACAGGTTCCTGGTTCTTGTATTGTGGCTTTTGGAATTTTGCTCAAGTTCAGAGATTCTACTGACTGCTGTGTTTCTATTGTGGCTTTTTGACTTTGCATTTACCTTTCTTTTGTAACCAATTTTTCATCAATAAACAAGGATTGTTTTTCCTACAGTCCAGTGTGGTGGATTTAATCTTATGGTCTCGTTTCTTGATCTGGGATGCAACAGAACACAATACCAACATTTGGAAGATGCCTGTAGTTGAGATCTACTGTCCTAGAGAATTCTAGTCCATTTCAAGACTAGACTACCCAGTCTTTTTTACATTCTGTTTGCATTTTAATATATTTATTCATATTGTATTTCAATCATTGCATTATGTGTTTTAATATACAGAATAACCTCCACTTACGAGTGACCCAATGTGGTGAATCTTACCTGGTAGGCCGGAAAGGGAGCCTGGATAACAGTAAGGCAGGCCTCCATTTTAGGAGGGAATGCCGGGGAGGCTGCCATCTTGAGTGAGGATGGTTGGAAGAGAGGAGGAGTTTAGAGACTCCTAGGATTGGCCAGAGCAGTTGGGAGGAGCCAAGTCTGAGGAGGGAAAAGAAGGTAGCTTCAGTGAGAGTTGAGAGCTGGGAGCTGGGATGTGAAGGTGTAAAGTTTGAAACTGAGTTTGAGGGAGAGAGCTAGGAGAGAGAGGGTCTGTGTTAGACAGTGCTGTGAGCTGACAGGAAAAAGGTCAGACAGCAGTCTGATCTCTTGTGAGAGTTAGCACAAGAGATTGGCTCTCCAGGCTGGGTTAGTTAACAGGAAGCACTCTAGGGTAAAGTTCGTTAATAACCCAGGGGCTACCTAGATAGGCTAGTCAGAGTCATCACTATTCTCTGAAATAGAGCGAGGGTTTTGTTACCAACAGTTAGTTCTGTTTGGTTAGCTCTGTCTAGAACAAAGTGAAGAGAACTGTTCAAGCAACCAATCAAGTTGAAGTTCTTTTGTAACAAGTCACGCTTTTTGTACCTCTCAGGAGTGGTTAGTTGTCTGTTTTAAAAATAAATCTTATTCTATTTGACTTTCAACCAAGTCTCTACTGTATATCACTCCATCGTCAAGTCTTTGTGATAGTTCCAGCAATTTTAACACCCTGTTGCTACAGAAAAGCCTCTCAACAAACAGTTGTTTGGGAGCCAGGGATAAGAGCAGTGTTGGCAGGAGTGGGAAAAGTTCACCTCAATTTTTTTTTGAAAATCCTAAAACACCTTAGGTTGGTGGCAGCTTTAATGCAAAAGAAAGTTTAAAGACAAGCAGTGTTCACTTCACCATAGCACATATCTGTTGCATCCCAGTTCAAGAAATGAGACCATAAGATTAAATCCACCACACTGGACTGTAGGAAAAGCAATCCTTGTTTATTGATGAAAAATTGGTTACAAAAGAAAGGTAAATGCAAAGTCAAAAAGCCACAGAAAAACACAGCAGTCAGTAGAATCTCTGAACTTGAGCAAAATTTCAAAAGCCACAATACAAGAACCAGGAACCTGTTAGCTTTTTACTAACCATGAACTTGATAGCTACAAGCCTCTGGGATTACCGGCCATGGAACACAGGAATTCTGCCAAGGCACAGCCACAGTCCCAAACGTTGCTTGATCTAAAGAGGCACCCGGCAGGAGGCCTCTTAAACCAAAGAAGCTATTCTTTGAAACGCCCCTTGACGTTGAAGCCTGGGCCTGTCTCTCCTGTAAATGATGTGACCTTCGTAGAAACTGTGAAACATTTCTGTCTCTAACTATCTGTTCTCTTTGGTCCTCATTAAAAACCCCAGGTGGAGAGATATCACGGCTAGTGATATCACTGCTAGCTTCCAAAACATTTTCCTCCAGCTGTTGAGTTTCATTTTCATCTCCGCTGACCTCTGCATCAACAACAGATTCCACACTGTCAGGGTCCGGGAGAGCTTGCTCAGTTGGAAAAACTATCAGAGAATCAGGTTCACACAGATCAGGATCAGGCTGAACCCCAACAATATCCATCATCGTCTTGCTATCATATTGAGGGCACAGGGGTGGGATTTTTCTTTTTCTTTTTTAAGGAAAGGAAAATCTCAGGGAAGATCCATCCTGCCGGGACATAATATTAATAAGTCTCCAGCTTTGCGTCTTTTGTTATACCCAACTTGCGAGTTTTTCAAATTACAAGCTGTCGCTTGGCTCGTTTTTTTTTGTCTGAGTTATCTGTTATTTATAAAATCAATTTTCTTATTTCAAAACATGTAACAAAAGTGGTGTGGGTTTCAAGGGGTGAAATGAAAAAACAGCATTTCAACGGGAAAACTGCTTTGAGATAAGAGTGATTTGAGTTAAGAGCTCAGTAAGCTTGTAAGTCAAGGTATCACTGTATATGTATTTTGTAGCAGTGTGTTTTAATGTATGTGTTTTATGGTGTGTATGTATTTTATGGTTATATATTATAATTGCATTGTATCCCACCTCGGGCCAAGAGGAGAGGCGGGTAACTTGTTTTTGTTGTTGTTGTTTCCCCCAAACAAGCACAAATTAAGTACAAGGAAGCTCCCATTTTTATAATGTGTCAGTCCAGCACTTTCCTTACTCTTGAAGTGGCAAATGGACTCAACCACCTGATTCCTCTTCTTTTCATTCAGTCTTGCAGGGGTTTATCCTTACTCCATACCTGGCCGTCCTCCTCTTCCTCTTCTTCATACCTTTGGGGATGCACTCGCCCTGCATCCGTGAGGAGGGAACATTGGGTCCCAAGCCAAAATTCATTGCCCACAGAGGAGCTCCACAGGTGAGTGAGGAAGAAAGCGGGGCCTTCAGACTCGTGTCATTCTGTAAAGCACATGATAACACTCCTGTCTTCTGTAACAGATGGCACCCGAGAATACAGAAATGTCATTTCGTAAAAGCCTAGAGTTTGGCGTTGTTGGTTTGGAGACAGATGTCAGAATTAGGTAAGGGCAAGCCATTTGCTACATTGTAGAAAGTTCTTGCAATTATAATTTTCAGAAAGGAATGAAGAGCAGATGATCTGCCTCTTTAGTTAGTTTTTTTAGGACATTGCTCTGAAGTTGTCTGCTCTGTTGCTTTCAAGCTTTGACTTCACTCTCTATATATAAAAATGCTCTGTGCATAATGAGTACCTTAAAAACAAAAGAACCAATGAACAAAATCACACCAAATTTGGCAACAAAACGTCTCACTACACAAGGAGTGACCATCACTCAAAAAAAATATGGTTTTGTCATTTGGGAGTTGTAGTTGTTGGGATGTATAGTTCAACCTACAATCAAAGAGCATTCTGAACTCCACCAACGATGGAATTGAACCAAACTTGGCATACAGACTCCCATGACCAACAGAAAACACTAGAAGGGTTTGGTGGGCATTGACCTTGAGCTTGGGAGTTGTAGTTCACCTACATCCAGAGACTACCATGGACTCAAACAATGATGGATCTGGACCAAACTTGGCACGAATATTCCATATGCCCAAATATGAAAACAGATGGAGTTTGGGGGAAATAGACCTTGACATTTGGGAGTTGTAGTTACTGGGATTTATAGTTCACCTACAATCAAAGAGCATTCTGAATCCCCCGAACGAGAGAATTGGGGAAAACGTCCCACACAGAACCCCCAAGAAAACCATCCAGTCGAACTCTCTTCAGCTGGGCAATAAAACGTAATCAAAGCCCTCCTGACAAAGAGCCATCCAGCCATATATATATATATATATATATACACACACACACACACACACACACACACACACACACACACATATATATATACACACACACACATATATATGATTCACACCCAGGGAGATATAGTATCATAGATCTGAAAGGGACCCCTAAAGAAGGACAATTATGTGTTGCATGTTCCAGAGTAGTAATGAGAACACTGACAAAGAAACAGCAAGAAATACTGTTTACCCACAAGCATAAAGAAATTACATATATCAGAAACCAACACTTTCTCATGACTTTATTTTTCACCTTACTGGGCCACAGCAATGCGTGGCAGGGGACAGCTAGTTTATTATATATTTATTGGTTTACTAGAGTATATACCTGGTATTGCCCACGTATACATTTTCTTTGTGGCTCATTCTTTCTCCATTTCCCTTATACACCTTATCCACTCCTTCCTTCCTTCTTCCCCTGCTTTTCCTCAAACAACTTCCTCTTCTTTCATTCTTACATGTCATCATCCCTTTCTCCTTTTCCTTTCCTTTCCTCCCTTTCTTCTTTCTCTTTCTCCTCTCCTCTCCAACCTTTTCCACTTTCCTTTCTCTTCCTTCCCACCTTTTTCTCCCTCCCTCCCTCTCTTCTATCCCTTCCTTCCTTCCTTCTTCCCTTGCTTTTTCTCATACAAGTTCCTCCCTCTTCTTTCTTACCTTTCTTTTCCTTCTTTTCTTTTCCCTCGTTTTTCTTTCTTTCCTCTCTTTTGTCTTCTGTTTCTTTTTCCCCCATTTCTTTCCTCCCTTCTTCCCTTTCTTCTTTCTCTTTCTCCCCTCCAACCTTTTCTACTTTCCTTTCTCTTCTTTTCCACCTTTTTCTTCCTCCATCCTTCCCTTCCTTCCTTCTTTCCCTCATACAACTTCCTGCCTCTTCCTTCTTTCTTACCTTTCTCTTCTTCCTTTTCTTTTCCCTTCTTTTTCTTTCTTTCTTCACTTTTGTCTTCCCTTTCTCTTTTTTTCCTTTCTTTCCTCCCTTCTTCCCTTTCTCTTCCCTCCCCTGAAATCTTTTCTACTTTACTTTCTCTTCCCACCTTTTTCTCCCTTCCTCCTTCCCTCCCTTCTATTCCTTCCTTCCTTCTTCCTTGCTTTCCCTCACAACTTCCTTCTTCTGCCTTCTTCTACCTTTTTTCCTTCTTTTCTTTTCCTTCCTTTTTTTTCTTTCCTCTTCCTTCTTCTTCCCTTTCCTCTCTTTTCCTTTCTTCCTCCCTTCTTCCCCTCTTTCTTTCCTTTCTCCCTCCCCTCAAACCTTTTCTACTTTCCTTTCTCTTTCTTCCCATCTTTTCCTCCCTCCATCCTTCCCTCCCTTCTATCCCTTCCTTCTTTCCCTCATACAATTTCCTCCCTCTTCTTTTTTATTACCTTTCTCTTCCTTCTTTTCTTTCCCCTCTTTTGTCTTCCTTTTCTCCTTTTTTCTTTCTTTCTTCCTTTCTTCTCTTTCTCTATCTCCCATCCCTGAAACGTTTTCTACTTTCTTTTCTCTTCCTTCCAACCCTTTTCTCCCTCCATCCTTCCCTCCCTACTATCCCTCCCTCCCTCCCTTCCTCCCTTCCTTTCCCCCTCATACCACCTCCTCCCTCTTCTTTCTTTCTTACCTTTCTCTTCCTCCTTTTCTTTCCCCCTTTTTCTTTCTTTCCTCTCTTTTGTCTTCCATTTCTCCTTTTTTTTCTTTTCCTCCTCCCTTCTTCCCTTTCTTCTTTCTCTTTCTCCCCTCCCCTCCCCTGAAACCTTTTCTACTTTCCTTTCTCTTCCTTCCCACCTTTTTCTCCTTCCCTCGCTTCCTCCCTTCCTCCCTCCCTTCCTTGTATTCCTTCTTTCTTTCCATATGAAGTGGAATTTCAAAAAGCCATACTGGTAAATTGAGGATTCAACTTCATTGAAAGCAATGCATTTCTGCGTTGCTGAAGTAGTCTGTTGTTCATATATGTTGTGCTTGTTATTTGCCGTCATCTGTGTACAATTGTTAAGACTTGAGCTACCTTGAAATTGACCTGCCCCCAATTCCACGCTGAGCATGAGAAGTTCCTTTTCTGTTTGGACAGCTACGACGGTGTCCCGTTCCTTATGCACGATAGGACTTTAAAAAGGACGACCAATATTGACGCCATGTATCCCGATATGGCGGACGTGGATGCTTCCATGATGACTTGGTCAAAGCTGCAGGAGCTCAATGCAGGGGACTGGTTCTTTGAGGTACATTTTTGGTTCTTGAATTTTTCATTCCGATCCCATTGTTTCCCCAAGCTGCTTTTGGACTCCCTACCAATGGAACTGATTTTCCTCGGGGCGGCTTACATGAGGCCAAGCCCAAACAACAAATTACAACAAAGTTAAACCAAGAACACAAACAACAGGCAACAACACAAATTTACCACATAATATCACAGTTATAACGGATTAAAACCATCAGACAGTACACTAGCAGCAATACACATTTTGTGGTCAGTGTTCACCAATCCAAGTCCGTAAACCATTTAGCATCGTCAATGTCCTTTCCTACTCTGGTCATTATTGGTTGTCTTTGTCCATCTGCCAGCTTACCTGAACGCTTGGTCCCACATCCAGGTTTTTAGCTTCTTCCTGAAGGAGAGGAGGGATGGTGATGTCCTAATTTCCCTGGGGAGTGAATTCCACAGGCGAGGGGCCACCACCGAGAAGGCCCTCCAGTCTCGCTCGTCCCCACCAGTCTCGCTTGTGATAAAGGTGGGGCCGAGAGCAGGGCCCCCTCAGCAGATCTTAAACGCCGAGGTGGGACGTAGAAGGAGATACGTTCGGACAGGTACGCTAGGCCGGAGCCGTAAAGGGTTTTGTAGGTCAAAACCAGCACTTTGAATTGTGCCCGGAACTGGATCGGCAGCCAGTGGAACTGACACAACAGAGGGGTGGTATGCTCTCTGTATGACTCTCCGGTGAGTAATCTGGCTGCCGCCCGTTGGACTAATTGAAGTTTCTGAACAGTCTTCAAAGGCAACCCCACGTAGAGCGCGTTGCAGTAATCTATTCGGGATTTAACAAGAGCGTGGACCACCGTGGCCAGATCTGACTTCCCAAGGTACGGGCGCAGCTGGTGCACAAGTTTTAATTGTGCAAAAGCTCTCTCAGCCACCGCTGAGACCTGCATTAGCAATATAAAATTACAATTACAGTAACAATGGGCGGGCCAGATGTGCAGAATAAAGTGGTTAAAAGTGATTAAAAACTCGGGTGAGATAAAAGGAGGAGCAGGTTATTTGCAAAGGGAACTCAATTAAAAAACAGGGTTTTGGAACCAAACTTTCCCATGAGGGGGGACGGACGTGTACTCCAATGATAGAAACGTTGAGTCTGAGTGATAGTGTGAGGTTATGTACCTACTCACAGCGGAAGAGCCAGGTTTTGAGGTTCTTTTTAAAGGTTTCTAGGGTAGGGGCTTTCCTAATCTCTCCATCACTCATAAAAACACCAAAAACTCAGCAGAAGAGACTTAAAAAGCCAAAAATTAAAAAAATACATTACAATGCACGTGCAAAACCACACACATATATATATACACAAACACACATATATACACATATGCACAAATATATACACACATATACACACACAAAGCACATATATACTGACTGGGCCACAGCAACGTGTGGCAGGGGACAGCTAGTGTGTGTGTGTGTGTGTGTGTGTGTGTGTGTGTGTGTGTGTGTATATATATATATATATATATGTCCGTGCAATCAATCAGCTGGCTATCATTTGTTCGTATGGGTTTTTTTTTATATCCTGCCCCAAACCCACTTAGATCAGTGGGTCTCCACCTTCCTAATGCTGCAACCCCTTAATACAATTTCTCATGTTGTGATGACCTCCAACCATAAAATTATTATCGTTGCTCCTTCATAACTGTCATTTTGCTACTGTTATGAATTGTAATGTCAATATCTGATATGCAGAATGTATTTTCATTCCCTGGACCAAATATGTCACAATTACCCAATACGCCCAAATTTGAATACTGGTGGAGTTGGCGGGGGGATTGATTTTGTCATTTGGGAGTTGCAGTTGCTGGGATTTATAGTTCACCTACAACCAAAGAGCATTCTGAACTCCACCAATGTGCTGTCATGCTCTGGGCCTGTGAAAGAGTCTATAGAAAGGACGTGTTTTCTGAATGCCCAACGGGATGCTGGGGGTGCCTCGGCTGAGAGGGCTTTCGGATTTCCCCACACAAAGTTCTTTTAAAGACTTAGAAAGTTCAACAAAGTTTTTATTGTAGCTTAAATCTTCAAGAAATCAAACAAATACTTCAAGGCTTTGAATCAACTGGTGGCTTGCTTACATCTTGTCCACAAGGGACAGGCAACTTGCTTCATAAACTGTTTCTTCCTTCTACAAGGGAAATCCTTGAGCCCTCCTTGGGCAATCTAACTTAAGCTCTGCTGGCGTGGACCCCTTATACCCAGTCCAAATTGCATTATGGCAGCCAGGAGTGGTCCTTACAAACAAAGTCCTTTAGTAGATTTCCAAGAGGAAAGAAGGCTTTCAATTCCCAGCGAAGGCTGGCTGTAAAACCGTGGAGCTGCATTTCTTCGGCAAAGAGCTGGCTGTAGAGTTGTGGAATTAAATTCCCCAACAAAGGCTATGCTGTAGTTCTCTGTAGAGCTGTGGGACTGGATCCCCCCAGCAAAGCTGTAAAAGACGAAGCTTTCTACAGGTGGAACTGATTCATGACCTGTACGAAAGGCTTCTTTGTGTGAACTGAACTAGAGGTCCCCCTTTCCCCTCCTTAACCCAGAAAAAGGGGGGGGGGGAACTAAAGAACATAATGATAATTGATGCGTCATTGGCCCTATTATTACAAACCAAAGGAAGCCACCTTATTGCAAAATGCATGGAACTTTGGAATACATGCAAACACTCAATAGAAAGGAAAAGAAGTTGGAGCTCCTGGTATAGCCGTACCAGCACAACCAACAATAAAATTGAACCAAACTTTGCACACAGAACTCCCATGACCAACAGAAAATACTGGAAGGGTTTGGTGGGCATTGACCTTGAGTTTGGGAGTTGTAGTTCGCCTACATCCAGAGGTCAACATTTTCTAATGTTACGCCATTAAGCTGAATTTCTAGCATTGCAGAGAGATTGGCTGGTGACTGCTGGAAGAGTACTTTGGTTTTCTCGTTCAATGAGAGGCCGAGCTTCTCGTATGCTTCTGCGAAGGTGTTTAGAGTGGCTTGTAGGTCTTCTTCTGAATGTACACAGACTACGTTGTCATCAGCATATTGGGATCCAACATATATTCGATAAGAAAAGGAAAACCTTTCAAGTATGGTTGATAGAAATGGCAAAGCATTTATAATTTTAGAATAAAATACTGTTTGATGAACATGTGGTATATTGATAGTATCTGGGTATGACTGTGAAGGTTATGAGGCAGTACCTAAGGGTGTGTGTTAATGGCTGAGTCATAACCATGTGAGAGTTATTGCAAAGGGGTTGCATCAGCCAGTGTCCCTTACTGATGACCTATCAGCAGATGGCTACATAAAGGAGGATGGAAGAATCCATCTTTCTCTCTCCTGTGTGACTCAGTGTGAGTATCTACCTAGGTTGTATGTGACTATCTGATGAGTCTGATTGTTTGCAAGTACAATGCATGGAAAGTGGATCTGCGTATCCTGTTTGTATATTTGTATATATTGCAATGGAGAAGATTAATGCCTCCAGATATTTTGGTTGAAAACCTGAATCTGTGAGTTTACTAAAACACTGTGTAGACAAGATCAGATGCTGGCAGTTGGGTTCTGCTTTTGATTTTTGAAAAACAGTTGACCCTGACTGATTTGTTCCTCTCTTTCTATTTCTTTATAGAGAAGGCCATTTTTATACATGCCCACACTCTCTCCTGAGGAGGAAAAATTGGTGAGGAACCAGAAAATTTTCAAGTTCACCGATTTCCTGAATCTTGCTGACCAGGAGAACAAACGTGTCATATTTGATCTTTTCCGACCTCCAAGATCTCACCCGTACTCGACTAATTATATTAATGTCACCTTACAAGCAATTCTACATGATTCACAGATTAGACACAATTTGGTATGAGGGATTCCTTTCCTCCAACTCTTTCGTTCAGGTGGCAGGTGCGGGCAAAATCCGGATCCGCCATGCATCACCGCTTGTTTTATGAAAAGTTAACGGGGTTCTTATCACAGGGGGCTTAAACCGATTGGTTCTTGGCTTGGTCATTCAAGTGTTTGTGGCTGTGAGATACAGTGTTCCCTCGTTTATTGCAGGTATTACGTTCCAGGACCACCCGCAATAAGTGAAAATCCGCAAAGTAGGGACATTATATATATACACAGTATTTACAATCCTATTTACTGTAAATTGTAATTTTTTATGATTTATAATATTCTTTTAGTATTAGAATTAATATTTTAAATATATTTTTATACATTTTGTGGTTTTAAAATCAAAAACACAGTGATAATATGATAGCTGGGTCTGGAAGCTCCGGGCGTTATACACATTCCACAACGGCGGTTGTGAATAAGGAAAGGGGAGAGCAGTTATGGTGGGAAGGGGGAGATACGGGAAAGGGAGAAGCAACAAACCAATTCAGCTAATTCGTGAAAAAAACCCTGAAAAAATTCCAAAATGTTCTCCCGGCATGGTAAACTTGTGTACCAAGGTAGACGGCCCTCCTAGATTAAAGGTGGTGCTGTTGAATGCCAGGTCTGTCAATGGAAAAACGTCAACTATTCGGGATTTAATCCTCGATGAAAAGGCAGACTTGGCGTGCATTACGGAGACCTGGCTAGATGAGGCTGGAGGGGTCAACCTTACCCAGCTTTGCCTGCCAGGTTACTCTGTACAGCACCAGCCGAGATCAGGGGGGCGGGGAGGCAGAGTTGCAATAGTCTATATAGATTCCATCTCCTTGGTCAGGTGCCCTACCCTACAGTCAACCTTGTTTGAATGTGTCCACCTGAGGCTAGGAGACCGGGACAGGATACTGATTCTGTTGGTGTACCGACCACCCCACTGCACCACAGATGCCTTACCTGAGCTAGCAGGGTTGGTCTCGGGTCTGACATTGGAGTCCCAGCGGCTCATAGTGCTGGGGGACTTCAATGTCCATGCAGAGACCACCCTTTCAGGAGCGGCTCAGGACTTCATGGCTACCATGGCAAACATGGGGCTGTCCCAACGAGTATCTGGCCCTACCCACTGTGCTGGACACACACTTGACCTGGTTTTCTGTCAGGGTTGGGAAGATAGTGGCGTTGTGGAGGAGCTGTCCATCGCTCCATTGCCATGGACCGACCACCACCTGATCAGATTTAGACTTTCTGCAACTCCTAACCTTCGCAGGGGTGGTGGACCCATTAGGATGGTCCGCCCCAGGAGGCTTATGGATCCGGATGGATTCCTGACGGCTCTTGGGGATTTTCCCGCTACCTTAGTAGGTGATTCTGTCGATGCTCTGGTCGCCCATTGGAATAGTAAGCTGACTAGGGCAATAGACATGATCGCTCCGGAGCACCCCCTCCTAAGCAACCGAGCTAAACCATCTCCTTCGTTCACCGAGGAGTTGGCGGCGAGGAAGCGAATGAAGAGGTGGCTAGAGAGCGTGTGGCGGAAAGAGCCTAGTGAGTCAAACCGAACACGCCTATGCAAGGGCATATGGCGCGGCAATAGAGGCTGCTCAAAATTCCTTCTATTCAGCCAATATTGCGTCCGCAAAGAACCGTCCAGCTGAGCTGTTTCGAGTAGTCAGAGGGTTGTTGAAGCCCACCATTCAGGATGGGTCCCCTGACGACTCGGCAGCCCGCTGTGAAGCGATTGCTTAGTACTTTGCGGACAAAGTTGCTTTGATCCGTGCAGGCTTTGACACCATATTAACGGCAGTCTCTGAGGATGTAACACGAGCACCTGCTTGTCCAATTTTGATGGATTTGTTTCAATCTGTTCAACTCGAGGATGTTGACAGGATTCTTGAGGAGGCGAGGCCAACCACATGCATCCTAGACCCCTGCCCATCCTGGCTGGTAAAGGAAGCCAGAGGGGGTTTGGCAGAGCGGGTAAAGGTGGTGGTTAATCCCTCCCTTCGGGAAGGCATCATTCCAGCCAGCTTAAAACAAACTGTTATAAAACCACTGTTGAAAAAGCCATCACTGGACCCCACTCAATTCGTCAACTATTGGCCAGTTTCCAATCTCCCCTATTTGGGCAACGTCCTGGAACGTGTGGTGGCCTCGCAACTCCAGGAGTTCCTGATAGACACTGATTAACTAGATCCTGCGCAGCCTGGTTTTAGGCTGGGGCATGGTACTGAGACAGCCTTGGTCGCCTTAGTGGATGATCTTCGCCGGGAACTGGACAGGGGGAGTGTGTCCCTGATGGTTCTGCTGGACCTCTCTACGGCCTTCGATACCGTCGATCACGGTATCCTTTTGGGACGTCTCACGGGAATGGGCCTTGGGGGTACTGCATTGCAGTGGCTCCAGTCCTTTCTCGAGGGGCGCTCCCAGAAGGTGTTATTAGGGGACGCCTGCTCAACTCCACGGCCGTTGTACTGTGGGGTCCCGCAGGGTTCTGTACTGTCCCCTATGTTGTTCAACATATACATGAAGCCATTGGGAGAGATCATCCAGAGTTTCGGGGTGCGGTGTCACCTGTACGCAGATGATGTCCAACTCTGTCACTCCTTTCCACCTGCTACTAAGGAGGCTGTTCAGGTCCTGAACCGGTGCTTGGCTGCTGTAACGGACTGGATGAGGGACAACAGATTGAAACTAAATCCAGACAAGACAGAGGTACTCCTGGTCAGTCGAAAGGCCGAACAGGGCATAGGGTTACAGCCTGTGCTTGACGGGGTTACACTCCCCCTGAAGGCGCAGGTTCGCAGCTTGGGAGTGATCCTGGACTCATCGCTGAGCCTGGAACCCCAGGTCTCGGCGGTGGTCAGGGGAGCTTTTGCACAATTAAAACTTGTGCGCCAGCTGCGCCCGTACCTTGGGAAGTCTGACTTGGCCACGGTAGTCCACGCTCTGGTTACATCCCGTTTAGACTACTGCAACGCTCTCTACGTGGGGTTGCCTCTGAAGACTGCCCGGAAGCTTCAATCAGTCCAACGTGCGGCAGCCAGATTGCTAACAGGAGCGGGGTACAGAGACCATACGACCCCTCTGTTACGCCAGCTCCACTGGCTGCCGATTAGCTTCCGTGCACAATTCAAAGTGCTGGTTTTGTCCTATAAATCCCTAAACGACTCTGGCCCAGTTTACCGAACGGATTCTCCCCTATGAACCATCAAGGCTATTAAGATCTTCCGGGGGGGGGGGGGGGCTGCTCTTGGTCCCACCACCCTTGCAATCACAGTTGGTGGGGACAAGGGACAGGGCCTTCTCGGTGATGGCTCCCCGGCTTTGGAACTCCCTCCCACTAGAGATCAGATCTGCTCCCTCCTTCCTGACATTCAGGAAATTACTAAAGACCTGGCTCTGGAATGTGGCATTTGAGAACTGAACCTAGAACCTCCCCCTGTGATGAACTATGATGAACTGTGACTATGAATATGACTATGACCATGACTGGATTGATGATTTGGCTTAGGTAATTGTAATGATGATGTTTTATTGTACTGTATTGTACTATTTTAATATGTAATGACTTTGTACTTGTTGTTCTTTATATGATTGTATTTTATATATGCTGTAAACCGACCTGAGTCCCTCGTCGAGGTGAGAAGGCCGGTCTAGAAAACTTCTAAATAAATAAATAAATAAATAAATAAATAAGGGTTAGGCTTAGGGTCAGGGTAAGGATTAGGGTAAGGGTTTCACCATTAAAGAACTCTTACATTCCTTCTATAATATCTGTGTTCCATTCTGCGTTGCGCAAACAGCGCTCCCAAAGGAGCGAAGTGGAAACAGCATAACTGTTGCACTCTAGGTCAGGAAAAAGCCCCCTGACTTTAAAACACACCACAAGAAGAGTGAAGAAACAAATCTTCTTTTATTGAAGTTTAGTAAATAGCCAGATGAAATAAATGCTTGTAAGAAAATAAGAAAGTTCCAAAAAGTAATAAGTCCATAAAAGGTAGTAACGCAAAGCAATGTCCACACCAGATATAAAAGCAACCCAAAACAGCATTTATCCAGACAGGAATCAACAAGACGCAAAGACAGTCCAAAAGGCTGAAAAAACTCCACAGGAACAAGACTCCTTGAACAGGATTTCCATGGCACATGAACTTGATTTCCAAACGATGCCTGATCTTACAGGTTTCCCCTAGAGGCAAACCTTATATCCCAAAACTCAGAAATTGATTTTACTTTCCCCACATTTACCCCTTATCAGACAAAGCCTTTCAGAGTGACGTAAACATTGAGTTTGCTGTCGATCTTGGCTAATCTCCAGCTGCCTATTCTTCAGCTCCCTATCTGGCTCTGGCTGCTCATTAAAAATCTCAGGTGTCAGATTGTTTTCCAAACCCAAATCTTGAGAGCTCCCAGAGAGAGGGAGTGAACCATCATTGCTAGGACCAGCAGGGATATTCTCATGAGAAACTGTCCTTTGCACTGGGGCCTCTCTGTCATTGTTTGCCTGAAAATCATTGACCAAACCATCTCCATCTTGTACCTCAGCCGCAGCACCATCATTCCTCTCATCATTTCCCTCATCATTTCCCACATCAGGATCCTGAAACACAAACACTGGCTGATTCCCAACAGTAACGTTCAGAGCTTCCGGACCCAGCTTTCATACTATTACCAAGGACGGCCACCACCACAAAGGCCCTTGCTCTGTAAATCGGGCAAGGCATTTCTGATTTTAAAACCACAAAATGTATAAAAATAAAAATATGAATTCTAAACCCTAACCGCAAAACAGCGAGTCTGCGGAAAGCGAATCGCGAAACAGCGAGGAAACACTGTATATTATTTTGGGCAGATATGAATTAACTTTAAAAATTGATTCACTGTAGAGCTTGGATCTCAATTCCCAGAATCACCTGTCTTAGGCATGTCAGGTAGGGGATTCTGGGAGTTGTAGTCCAGCAAAGTTACTTTCCTAAGCTCTGCTCCATTCATCCAAAGGGACATTTGAGGAATGTGTTACAAATTGCTTTTATATTACTACAAATATTGCAATGCATTTGTCGGTTTCAAACATAAATGGAAAATATACTGTAAGTTTTTTTTAAAAAAATGTGCAAAATTGGCTGTAATCTGGTATAAGAATTACAATCTTGTAACTGTTAGGGATTCATGATTCGAATTATGAATGATTTGGGGTGCATCTACATTGTAGAATTAATTGTGATTTATTTATTTATTTACTTATTTATTTACTTCATTTATATACCGTAAATATAAATGCCGTAAATAAATAAATAAATACAGCTTTTCTCAGCCCTTAGGCGACTCAAAGCGGTTAATGATTTATTTATCGTGTCAGAACCAAATTGAGGGTACAATTATAGTGTATTTAAAAGTACACAAACAAAGTCAAAGAGCCGGCATTGTCCGTAGACAGATACCTCTAAGGTCATGTGACTGGCAAGACTGCATGGAGCGCAGTTAGCTTCTCACCAGAGCAGTACCTATAGATCTCCAGACATTTGCATGTTTTCAAACTGCTAGGTTGGCAGAAGCTGGGGCTAACAGCAGGAGCTCACCTTGCTCCCCGGATTTGAACCACCAAGCTTTCAGTCAGCAAGTTCAGCAGTTTAGCCTGCTGCACCTACATCCAGGGAGTACTGTGGATTCAAACAATGGTGGATCTGGACCAAACTTGGCTCGAATACTCAATGTGCCCAAATGTGAACACTGGTGGAGTTTGGGGAAAATAGTAGGGCTGGGCGGTTTCGTTCGTTAATTTCGTAATTCGTTATTGATTCGTATTTAAATTAGCTTACGATCCGATATTGAGTCATGCAGGAGCAACTAAAAATCGAAACGAATTTTTCAATTTATTTCGTAATTGTTTCGTAATTGGTTCGAAATCATTTCGAAATCGTTTTGAAATCGTTTTGAAATTGTTTTGTTATTATTTCTGTATGTCTGGTGCAAGTTTTATAGTTGTTGTTTGTTTTATCAGTGATAAAAAAATAAATTATCGCACCAACAGTCAACAACAGAGGGAGAGGGAAGCTTCAGAAGTTCCCCCTGTCCCATTTGGAGGTTTTTTTAGCGTATTGCGCAATCGCGTCCGCCATTAACGATTCATTTCGAAATTTACGAAATTTTGTAAATAACGAAAAATTTTAAAAGAAAAATTCGGAATTCTTTTAAAAAATGAAACGCAATGGACCCCCTAAAAACGAAGCGAGTTTAGGAACAAATTTTTCCGTTGTTACCCAGGCCTAGAAAATAGACACTGACATTTGGAAGTTGTAGTTGCTGGGATTTGTGGTTCACCTACAATCAGAGCATTCTGAGCCCCACCAATGATGGAACCGAACCAATCTTGGCACATAGAATTCCCATAACCAAGAGAAAATACTGAAAGGGTTTGGTGGGCATTGACCTTGAGTTTTGGATCTGCACCAAACTTGGTACATTACCAAGATGGAGTTGTAGTTCACCAACACCAAAAAGGAAGAGAAGTACCGGCAGAGAGATCTTCAGCTTTCTCTGCCAAAGGAGTTCTTTAGACCATCAAAAAAATGTGTTTCCTGATGGTCTTTGGCGACCCCTCTGAAACACCCCTCAGAATCCCCCCCGGGATCCTGATCCCCAGGTTGAGAAACACTGGTTTAAATAAAGTTCTGGGCATATGCCGGTTTAACTTATATAGATTTTATTATTTATGAAATCGACTAATATTGATCCAAGTTTTTCTTTTACTATCTTTATTTTCTGAAGAAACCACTGGGCTTCAAAAGCTATCATGATGAATTTGCCCGTTTTGCTTGTCCTGATACAGGTGTCAATATGGATTTTGGATTTCGGCTTGTGGTTTTGAAATAACACGCAACTCCTTCCTTCCTTCCTGTTTCAGGTGCTATGGTTGCCGGAGCTAAACCGATCTTACGTCCAGTCTGTGGCTCCCGACTTCCAATACACTTCACCTAGAATACGTTCTGTGAAGGACCTCCAGAGAAAAAACATCAATCACCTCAATGTGAACTATCGAAATTTACGTTACATGAATATTCGGTAAGTTGCGCTGACAAATTGCCCCCCCCCCCCCGAGGACAGGGAATGAAACATTAAGTTGGTCATTTTTTAATTAATATTTATTCAGAAAACAAGGCAGGAAAACTGGAATTATTTTTCATATGCTACTAAAACGATGAGTCATACAACTAAATCTAAAACAACATCCTAATCTAAAACATGGGAGTGGTGAAAAAGAAAGTATGCCACAAGTTGAATTCCAACTGCAGAAGCTGTTTATTGCGGGCCAAAGCAGTAATGACAAAATGCATGTAGCAATGCACGAAAAGGTTTTGTCGCAACTTGCAATGGGGTTGCAAGGCTTTTTTTATCACTTTCACAACTGCATGATACAGTGTAGTTGCAGCTTCTATCACAGTGTTTCTCAACGTGGGGGTCGGGACCCCTGAGTGGGTGTCAGAGGGGTCACCAAAGACCATAAGAAAGCACAGTATTTTCTGATGGTCATGGGGATTCCATGTGGGAAGTTTGAGCCAATTCTATCGTTGGTGGGAGTTCAGAATGTTCTTTGATTGTAATGAACTATAAATCCCAGCAACTACAACTCCCAAATGTCAAGATCTATTTTCCCCAGACTCCACCAGTGTTCACATTTGGGCATATTGAGTATTCGTGCCAAGTTTGGTCCAGATCCACCATTGCATGAGTCCACAGTGCTCTCTGGATATAGGTGAACTACAACTCCCAAACTCAAGGTCAATGCCCATCAAACCCTTCCAGTGTTTTCCATTGGTCATGGGAGCCAAGTTTGGTTCAAATCCATCGCTGGTGGAGTTCAGAATGCTCTTTGATTATAAGTGAACTATAAATCCCAGCAACTACAACTCCCAAATTACAAAATCAGCCCTCCCCCAACCCCACTACCATTCACATTTGGGCGTATTGGGTACTTGTGCCCAGTTTGGTCGAGTGAATGAAAATGCATCCTGCAGATTAGATATTTTCATTATGATTTATAACAGTAGTAAAATGACTGTTATGAAGTAGCAACAAAAATAATATTATGGTTGGGGGTCACCACCACGTGAGGGACTGTATTAAGGGGTCACGGCATTAGGAAGGTTGAGAACCACTGATATAGCCAGTGCCGTCACACCCAGACCCTGTAAAAATAAACTAAGATGTGCTTCTCTCTTTGTCTGGGCAGACTGCGGGGGTCTTTCTTTAGAAGCTTGAGATTCCCAGCAACTGAGGCTACTACAGGTTTTGAACACCAAAACAGAATATTTATTTCTTAAATTTCTGTTTTTTCCATTTCTTCTTTCGGTCTGACTTCCCGGTGTCTTCGATCACTTTTTCCTTTTCTTTTTTTCTTTCATTTCTGTTTTCTTTCTTTCTTTTTTTTTCATTCTTCTATCTTTTTTTATGTTCTTTTCTTCTTCTTCTTTTTCTTTTTTTTTTTTTATCTTTTTTTTTTTTTTTTTCTTCTTTTTTTTTTTTTCTTTTCTTTCTCCTTTTTTCACTTTTTTATTTCCTTTTCTTTCTTCTTTTTTTTCTTTTTTTTTTCTTTTTTCTTTTTTCTTTCTTTTTTTTTTTTTTCTTTTTTTTTTCTTTTCTTCTTCTTTTTCTTTTTCTTTTTCTTTTTCTTCTTTTTCTCTTTTTCTTCTTTTTTTTTTTTTTTTCTTTTTTCTTTTTTTTTTTTCTTTTTTTTTTTTTTTATTTTTTTTCTTTCTCTTTTATTTTTTTTTTTTTTCTTTTTCTTTCTTGTTTTTCTTTCTTTTTTTCTCTTTTTTTTTTTTTTCTTTTTTTTTTTTTTTTTTTTTTTTTTCTTTCTTTCTTTTTTTTTCTTTCTTTCTTTTTTTTCTTCTTTCTTTTTTTTTTTTTTTTTTTTTAAAATTTTTTTTTTTTTTCACTTTTTTTCCTTTGTGTCTTGTTTATTTTCTTTGTCTCCCCGGGTCCTTGCCGCGCTTGCCTCGCTTGTCATCCCTGGACCCCCCCCCCCCGTCCTTAGGTGCCACCCTGGCGCTGCTCTTGCGTTCCTTTCCTTCCGTTCTTGTGCTCCCTTATTCCCCCCGGGCCGCCACTCCCATCCTCAGTCCTTTTTCCCCTCCCCTGCGCTGCCTGGTTCCCTCTTATACGCCTTTCTTTCTTTCTTTCTTTCCTTTCTTTCCCTTTTCTTTCTTTCCTTTCTCCTTTCCCCCTTCTCACCCCACAGGGGACTCAGGGCAGATTACAGTGTACACGTATATGGCAAACATTCATAGAATCATAGAATCAAAGAGTTGGAAGAGACCTCATGGGCCATCCAGTCCAACCCCCTGCCTAGAAGCAGGAATATTGCATTCAAATCACCCCTGACAGATGGCCATCCAGCCTCTGTTTAAAAGCTTCCAAAGAAGGAGCCTCCACCACACTCCGGGGCAGAGAGTTCCACTGCTGAATGGCTCTCACAGTCAGGAAGTTCTTCCTCATGTTCAGATGGAATCTCCTTTCTTGTAGTTTGAAGCCATTGTTCCTTGTCCTAATCTCCATGGAAGCAGAAAACAAGCTTGCTCCCTCCTCCCTGTGGCTTCCTCTCACATATTTATACATGGCTATCATGTCTCCTCTCAGCCTTCTCTTCTTCAGGGTAAACATGCCCAGCTCCTTAAGCCGCTCCTCATAGGGCTTGTTCTCCAGACCCTTGATCATTTTAGTCGCCCTCCTCTGGACACGTTCCAGCTTGCCAATATCTCTCTTGAACTGTGGTGCCCAGAAGAATTGGACACAATATTCCAGGTGTGGTCTAACCAAAGCGGAATAGAGGGGTAGCATTACTTCCCTAGATCTAGACACTATGCTCCTATTGATGCAGGCCAAAATCCCATTGGCTTTTTTTGCCACCACATCACATTGTTGGCTCATGTTTAACTTGTTGTTTACAAGGACTCCAAGATCTTTTTTACACGTACTGCTCTTGAGTGAGGCGTCCCCCATTCTGTATCTTTGCATTTCGTTTTTTCTGCCAAAGTGGAGTATCTTGCATTTGTCACTGTTGAACTTCATTTTGTTAGTTTTGGCCAATCACTCTCTAATCTGTCAAGATCATTTTGAATCCTGCTCCTGTCCTCTGGAGTATTGGCTATCCCTCCCAATTTGGTGTCATCTGCAAACTTGATGATCCTGCCTTCTAACCCTTCATCTAAGTCATTAATAAAGATGTTGAACAGGACCGGGCCCAGGACGGAACCCTGCGGCACTCCGCTCGTCACTTCTTTCCAAGATGAAGAGGAAGCATTGGTGAGCACCCTCTGGGTTCGTCCATTTAACCAATTACAGATCCACCTCACCGTAGTTTTGCCTAGCCCACATTGGACTAGTTTCCTTGCCAGAAGGTCATGGGGGACCTTGTCAAAGGCCTTACTGAAATCCTGGTATGCTACATCCACGGCATTTCCCGCATCTACCCAGCTTGTAACTCTATCGAAAAAAGAGATCAGATTAGTCTGGCATGACTTGTTTTTGAAGCGTGCATCTTCTTGGTGTCCCCTGCATTTATAGGCCAAAATCCATTTTTCTTCTTTTCTTCTTTCTAATAATCAGGTTGTTCTGTTCCTTTCAAGTCCGTTCCAGTCCAGGACATCCTCAATCCAGGCCTCATGATTTATGGGGCACTCCTTGCACTCCTTACATGCTTGGTCACACACCTTATTGTCCATTGTTGTTCAGTTATGCCTTACTGCCTCCTCGCTTCGACTGCCAAGTTCGTCCCATATCATGCCTTGCGAGAACTCCATGTTGGTTTTTCTTCAGGCCTGTTTCTTCTCTTCTACATGCATTCAAACATTCATTCCTCACACCCTGGGGAAATGCAAAAGAACACTATCCCATGCAACTAAAAGGTAATGCAAACTATGCTCCTGGAAGATGGAACATAGCCCAAAAAATAATGCCGCAGGGTCCTGTCCTGGGCCCGGTCCTGTTCAACATCTTTATTAATGACTTAGATGAAGGGTTAGAAGGCAGGATCATCAAGTTTGCAGACGACACCAAATTGGGAGGGATAGCCAATACTCCAGAGGACAGGAGCAGGATTCAAAACGATCTTGAGAGATTAGAGAGATGGGCCAAAACTAACAAAATGAAGTTCAACAGTGACAAATGCAAGATACTCCACTTTGGCAGGAAAAATGAAATGCAAAGATACAAAATGAGGGAAGTGCCTGGCTTGAGAGCAGTATGTGTGAAAAAGATCTTGGAGTCCTCGTGGACAACAAGTTAAACATGAACCAACAATGTGATGTGGCGGCAAAAAAAGCCAATGGGATTTTGGCCTGCATCAAGAGGAGCATAGTGTCTAGGTCCAGGGAAGTAATGCTACCCCTCTATTCCGCTTTGATTAGACCACACCTGGAATATTGTGTCCAATTCTGGGCACCACAATTCAAGAGAGATATTGACAAGCTGGAATGTGTCCAGAGGAGAGCTACTAAAATGATCAAGGGTCTGGAGAACAAGCCCTATGAGGAGCAGCTTAAGGAGCTGGGCATATTTAGCCTGAAGAAGAGAAGGCTGAGAGGAGATATGATAGCCATGTATAAATATGTGAGAGGAAGCCACAGGGAGGAGGGAGCAAGCTTGTTTTCTGCTTCCTTGAAGACTAGGACGCGGAACAATGGCTTCAAACTACAAGAGAGGAGATTCCATCTGAACATGAGGAAGAACTTCCTGACTGTGAGAGCCGTTCAGCAGTGGAACTCTCTGCCCGGAGTGTGTGGAGGCTCCTTCTTTGGAAGCTTTTAAACAGAGGCTGGATGGCCATCTGTCAGGGGTGATTTGAATGCAATTTTTCTGCTTCTTGGCAGGGGTTGGACTGGATGGCCCATGAGGTCTCTTCCAACTCTTTGATTCTATGATTCTAGGGAGAATCAGCCCCAAACAGCCCAGCGACTATTATGCGAGGAACACAAAAAATACCAATTTTGCCACCCCACAAATAGGTGGGTGGCTATTATGTAGTGGTGACTATTATGCAATGAAATATGGTATGCCCGCACTTTTAATAATATCCCTCTATTTTATAAATCCAATTGTTGAAATTTGCTCCTCATTGTTGCTGTATAAAAGAGATGAGCAAGTCCCAAGTTGATTAGGGATTTCTCCTTAATCATCACCGTCCATTTTTCCATCTCACCAAGTTCACAAATCTTCATTAGCCATTCTTCTTGTCTTGGGATGACTGGTTCTTTCCATCGCTGCACATAGACAATTCTGGCAGCAGTTGTCATATAGTGTAGTGATTTTCCATGTTTTCTTTCTAATTGATGATTGAGCATTTCCAACAAATCAAGTTCTGGTTTCATCATGAACAGTAAAGATAGCATAGTAGGTTGTAATGGACTCATACCTTTCTGGTTAGGCCGCAGCCTTTAGAGACAGTGAGCCGACTCCATCTTAGTGAGGGAAATACTAGGAAAGTCAGATCAGCAGAGGGGAGGAGTTTAGCTATGCCAGGATTGGTTAGGACAGATGGGAGGAGCTGGAGCTGTCAGTGAAAAGAGGCAGGCAGCTTCTGTCAGAGAGAGAAGGGATTTTAACATCACACAGAGAGAAGGGTTTTGAGAGCAGGAGAGAGAGATTGGATTTCAAGCTACAGGGAGAGGATAGTTTTCGAGTGAGCTGAAGATTTCCTGAGGGAGAGTGTTTGAAAGGCAGGTGGGGCTATAGAGTGACCTGAAGGGTCAATAGCCGCCTGTGAACTGGTGTGGGAGAAGAACACACTGGTTGTCTGTACTCTCTAAAGGACAGGGTATTCTAGTGGGATCTAGATACGCTGAGGGGACAGATAGGTTTAATCTGTCTGAGGGAATTTGCTCATGTCGAAGAACAGATACCCAGTTGGGAAGTTCAGTAAGCTTGTTAGGACTTAGGAACTGTTCAAGAAGATTGTGCTGTGCTAACCATATACGCTTTTGTAACTCAAAGAAGAATCCAGTTGTTTGTTCTAGTGATCTGCGGCAGGAGCTCGACGGGGGAGTGTGTCCCTGTTGGTGCTGCTGGACCTCTCAGCGGCCTTTGATACCGTCAACCACGGTATCCTTCTGAGACGCCTCGCGGGGATGGGTCTTGGAGGTACTGTTTTGCAGTGGCTCCGGTCATTCCTAGAGGGTCGATCTCAGAAGGTGTTGTTGGGGGACACCTGTTCAACCCCACAACCATTGTCTTGTGGGGTTCCTCAGGGCTCAATATTGTCTCCCATGTTGTTTAACATCTACATGAAGCCGCTGGGCGAGATCATCCGGAGTTTCGGGGTACGGTGTCATCTGTACGCAGATGATGTCCAACTCTGTCACTCCTTTCCACCTGCTACTAAGGAGGCTGTCGAAGTCCTGAACCGGTGCTTGGCCGCTGTGACGGTCTGGATGAGGGCGAACAAATTGAAATTGAATCCAGACAAGACAGAGGTACTCCTGGTCAGTCGCAAGGCCGAACAGGGCATAGGGTTACAGCCTGTGTTGGATGGGGTCGCACTCCCCCTGAAGACGCAGGTTCACAGCTTGGGTGTGATCCTGGACTCATCGCTGAGCCTGGAACCCCAGGTTTCGGCGGTGACCAGGGGAGCATTTGCACAGCTAAAGCTTGTGCGCCAGCTGCGCACGTACCTTGGGAAGTCTGACTTGGCCACGGTAGTCCACGCTCTGGTTACATCCCGTTTAGACTACTGCAACGCTCTCTACGTGGGGTTGCCTTTGAAGACAGCTCGGAAGCTCCAACTAGGCCAACGCTCGGCAGCCATGATTTTAACAGGAGCGGAGCGCAGGGAGCATACAACCCCCCTGTTGCGCCAACTCCACTGGCTACCGATCTGCTACCGGGCTCAATTCAAAGTGCTGGCGTTGGCCTTTAAAGCCCTAAACGGTTCCGGCCCAAGCTACCTATCCGACCGCATCTCTGCCTATGAACCCACCAGGACTTTGAGATGTTCCGGGGAGGCCCTGCTCTCGATCCCGCCTGCTTCTCAAGCACGGCTGGCGGGGACGAGAGATAGGGCCTTCTCGGTGGTGGCTCCTCGGCTGTGGAACGCCCTTCCTACGGACATTAGACTAGCACCATCTCTAATGGTATTCCGCAAAAAAGTGAAGACCTGGCTGTTTGAGCAGGCATTCGAATAATTAGTGCAATGATTGGTTAATGAACACTGGAATGGAACAATGGATGACGAATCTGGAACATGTTTTTGATGATGAGACGACAGTGAATGGGTATTGTAGTAACTGTTTATTAATTGTGTAATGTGTTAGGTTGTTAACTGTTTTTATACTTTAGCACTGAATTTTTGCTGTTCGTATTTGTTGTGAACCGCTGTGAGTCGCCTTCGGGCTGAGAACAGCGGTATATAAGTAAGGTAAATAAATAATAATAATAAATAATAATTATAAATAAACTTTGTTCTAGTTCAACTTTACATGAAATCCTCACAGTGATTCATTCCATTAAGCCTGTTCCAGTAAATTTCTAACACCTTTTCGCCTCAGACACTTTAGTGGGAGTCAAAGGAAGGGCTGGGGCACAACAAGCTTTACCTCAGACATAACACCAAGTTAAATTCTCAAAATCTATTTGAGTGGTGGCAGTAATACCTAAAGACACATCGAGCTTTGTGACAGGTGTCCAGTTGGAGTCTTAGAAAACAAAGTCCTCTACTCCGTTCCTTCAAATTGGTATCCACGGCGGAACGGTCATTCAGTCCGGTTTACATTGGTGACCGGCTGAGAGCAATATAACAGCCGAAGGAACATGAGAGTGTGTGTGCTAGGGAATATATTAGAAGTATTATTACTTAGAGCTCAGGCCGATCGTTATATATGCATTTAAATTAGACATGATTTCTGAATAGTAGATATAATCCAGGCATTGTCCAAGGTCTAAGAGGACTTCCTCTGTTTGCTTCAAAGGGAATATGAGAAAGCCAACATCACAGTCAACCTCTGGGTAATCAATGAGCCGTGGCTGTTCTCCTTGGCCTGGTGCTATGGAGTCCATTCTGTAACCACCAACCGTGCACACATTATGCACGATCTGAAAGAGCCTTTATTTCTCATGGTAAGTAGCGAAAACATATCCCTACACATGAGGTACACCTGTCATTACTAATGACCAGTGTCTGTTTCCTTGATTTAGGAGGTTTTTGTGATGGAGCAAGGACCTCCAGAGAGCACTGATTTCTGCCATGAACCAGCTCAGACTGGAAGGTTATATTGGAACTTGATATTATTTATTTATTATTTACAGGACAGCTCACATAGGCAGCAATTTAATACCACAACAACAGTAACACTAGTATAAAACATAAATACATAGCAAGTTAAAAACAGTAACAATTAGTTATATCATCTCACCATCGCATAATCACATATCCGTTTCCAAGTTATCGTAACAATCATCAAGTCCAGTTCATGTTCAAAGTGCTGCTGCACCCCCTAGCCAAAGTCCTGGTTCCATAGTTATGATTTTAGTTTTTTCCTGAAGAAAAGGAGGGAGGATGCCGATCTAATCTCGCTGGGGAGCGAATTCCACAAGCGGGGGGGGGGGGGTCACCACCGAGAAGGCCCTATCCCTCGTCCCCACCAGACGCGTTTGCGAAGCTCGAGAGCAGGGTCTCCCCAGCAGATCTTAGATTACGAGGAGGAATGTAGAGGGAGATATGGGCCCGAACCGTATAGGCCAACCGTATAGGCCAACCGTATAGGCCAACCGTATAGGCCAAGACCAGCACTTTGAATTGTGCTCGGAAGTAGACTCTATGTATGCCTGGTGACCTAAACCAGGGAATTTAAAACTTTTTCCACTTGCATCCCCTTTCCACCTGCCACCAGGTATAGAAGTATAAATATAAAATACTGTATTTTCTGGTGTATAAGACTACTTTTTAACCTAGAAAAATCTTTGCAAAAGTCAGGGGTCGTCTTATACACCGGATCTCATTTTATAGGGCAGGTGCTGAAACTTCCAAGTTGGACTGGAGAACCTGCGTTCGCCACATATGGTAGGGGGAGCTCAAAAATGGCTGTGGCAACCATATAAAAGCAGCAAGGGCAGCACTGTATAAGTATGGTATTGTTGCACTCCAGGACAGGAAAAGCCCTCTGACTAGACAGTACACAGTTGATTGGAAAACAAGCCTTTTATCGAAGATACTTAAAAAGCAGCAAGTAAAAAGCACTTAAAAGAAATAGGTAAATCCAGTTCGGTACACCACTGGAGAAATTACACTGTTTAGCTGGTATTGCACCTCCTGACATCCGCCGGGAAGTAGCAGCCAATAGTGAAAGGACCAAGGCAGACATATCTCCAGCGCATCCCTTGTTTGGGTATCAGCCAGCATGCCAATGACTTAAATCAAGAAATAGTTTTTTAAGATCTACAGAGACACTCGCTGGAACACCTCAGCAAGCGAGAGTCCAGAAGTGGCAGGCTCAAACCCAGAACCTCAACCAATGGCTGATAGCAAATGAGAGACTCCCCCCTGGGCACACTGAAGACTGGGCGACTTGGAAGGCGCTGAACAGACTGCGCTCTGGCACCACGAGATGCAGAGCCAACCTCAAGAAATGGGGCTACAAAGTGGAATCCACAACATGCGAGTGTGGAGAAGAGCAAACCACATGCCACCTGCTGCAATGCAATCTGAGTCCCGCCACATGCACAATGGAGGACCTCCTTGCAGCAACACCAGAGGCAATCCAAGTGGCCAGCTACTGGTCAAAGGACATTTAATCAACTACCAAGCTTGGAAACTCTGTTTTGTCTGTTTGTGAAAATTTGTTAAAAATTGTCTGGTTGCTACTGACACGATAAATAAATATTAGGTAAGAAGATAAGCAGGAGCAAAAATAGTCCAGGGTACAGTTCAGCAAAGTCCACAAAAACGAAGTCTACACTTCTCTAATATAATTCAGAAAACCAGGAAACTAATCCAAGGCATGAGTATGCATTCATACAATCCAAGAATCCAAACCATGAAACAGGAAATACTTAGCCAAGAATCTTCCAAGCAAGGCTTTCATGAACTAGGATGAGAACTACACTTGATTCCAAACGATGCTTCATCTAACTATATTTTCCATACTTTGACCTTTTATCCCCTCGTTAAGCTATTCCAAGCACTCAGAAATTGGTTTTGCTTGAATTGAGATTCGCTTATCCTTTTCTGTCAGATTCTGGCAGACTGCCGAAGCCACTGTTCGGTCTGCCTGTTTTGACTAATCTCCTGCCTCCTATCTATTTGCTCATTAAGTTTTGCAGCTGGGCCAGGTGCCCAGTTGTTTTCAAGCCCCAAATCCTGGGAACTCTCTGGTAGCAATTCAGGAAGTACACCATCATCCCCACACCCTTCAGGGACATTCTCATTGGAAACTACACTTTGCACAGGGGTCTCCTGGTCCCTCTCTGCATCAGTATCATTGACCAAACCACTTCCATCTTGAAATTCATTAGCATCACTTCCCACATCCAAAGCACTCTGATCCTGAAACACAATCACAGGATGAACTCCAACAGGTAGAAGAAAATCCACTCACCAGGATTCATGGAAAGAAGTGACTTAATGTGGTCCTGATAATGAGGTGAGGGAGCACCTCACCGGGAAGGTGTAAGTGAAGGGCGGAGCAAGCTCCAGGCATCCAGGACACCCAGGGTATGGAAAAAAGTGTTGGGGTTCAGCCTGCGTGTGAACCTGAACCTGATTCTCTGATTGCTGAACCTGAACCTGATTCTCTGATTGTATTTCCTGATGCTACTGAAAATGTATTCTCCCTGATGGTAATGAAAATGATTCTGAGGTCAGTGACTTGGAAAGTGAAACTACACATTCTGATGAGAATGTTGCAGAGCCAAGCGGTGATAGCTCTCCAGAGGAGCTTACACCTGGCTTCCTTAATGAGGATAGAAAAGGACAGATTTGGAAAAACAGGAGTGAATCGCAGAGTCTGCGAAGGTCAAGCAGATTAAGGGAAAAGGAAACACAGGCTTCAAAGCCTGGAGGCATGTCACGAAACAGTTTCTTCAGTTTTAAGTGCCTCTCGCCGGGTTGTCTCGTTAGATCAGGCATCATTTAGACTGAGGCATTATCTTGGCAGATTTCCCTGTTTCCCGTGGCCTACATCCCAAGAGGCTTCTAGTGCTCCAAGTACGGTTGGTGAATTGCTAACAGGTTCCAGGTTTTTACAGTGTTGCTTTTGGATTTTGATCTAATTCATGGATATTCCTGACTGCTGAATTTTACTGTGGCTTTTTGACTTTGCATTTTCCTCTATTTTGTAACCATTTTTCATCAATAAAAAGGGATTGTTTTTTCCCACAGTCAAGTGTGGTGGATTGTTATCTTATGGTCTCATTTCCTGCTCTGGGTTGCAACAAAAAGAGATAGAGCAGCACTGTGCCCAGAAAAACACACCTGTTTCACTCGTCTGGCCCACCCTTGTATCTTATTACCCTACTTGCTTCTCTGCCTCTCAGATCTCGCTACTGAGGATTGCTGTGAAGTGGTGCAGGCATGCATGTGTGAGATCTGAGAGGCAGAGAAGGAGGTACGGTAATAGGAAAATTACCATATTGAAATCAAATCTGATGTTTTTAAAATTGCTGTGTGGTGTGCGTTGGAAGAGGGGTGGTCTTATACAGCGAGTATACCTCAAACTCTATTTTTAGAGTTTGAGGTATACTCGCTGTATAAGACCACCCCTCTTCCAACGCACACCACATAACAATTTTAAAAAACATCAGATTTGATTTCAATATGGTAAGTTTCCTATTACCGTACCTCCTTCTCTGCCTCTCAGATCTCGCACATGCCGACAGGGAGCTCTGGCGTGGGCTGGTCCATGAGGTCACGAAGAGTCGGAGACGACTGAACGAATGAACAACAACAACCTCAAACTCTATATTGTAACTGGAAAAGTTGGAATCGTCTTATACGCCAGAAAATATAATAGGTATACAAATGCACCATGTTCTCCCCTTCCTCAAGCAGCAGCCCTATTCCTCCTCTTTGTCCATATACTTTTTGGCCAAATTTTTCACGACCCCCACCATTCACTTTTGTGACCCCATTTGGGGTTGCGACCCACACTTTAAGAGCTCTTCTGTTTTCCTGAGAACGTTTGTGTGAAGTCAGTAAGACATTTCATTGACAGACCTCAACCTTCCGCCTGGCTCACAATCACCTCTGCTTTTGTGACTCTGGGAATAATGGGTTTGTGTGTTGGCCACGATCTTGCTAACCAATGTGCAGTCCTCCAAGGGTAAGATGAGATGTTTGGGTCTACCACCTTCTTAGGATCTCTGGCAATGTGGAGTTTTAATGAGGGGGTCCTGTCTCCACTTGGGAAATTATAATTCCTGTTTGTCTGCTGTTCTCTTACAGACACCGCAGAACTTCATGAGAATGTGGATGGTAACAGATGCGTTGGCTGTTGTCCTCATTGGTCTCTTATTCGGCATGCACTGGTAAATACCATTATGTTTTGCAGGTTGGATGTGGTGTTGTACATGATATCTGTTTCTTGCATTCATTGCCCTAAAGTGCTGCTTTTCCACTCATGATCCCTTTTCGCCCAAGAAGGTTTTACACGACTCCAGGTATAGAGGTATATAAAATAGGCATACAAGGCAAACATTTACTGATAACATTTATTTGTCGTGTCAGGGCAACCAGTCAATTGTATTACATTTCTAACAGAACAAAACAAACAAACAGACAAAATACAAAATTTGCGAGTTTGGTAGTTGGTTAAATGTCCTTTGACCAGTATCTGGCCACTTGGAGTGCTTCTGGTGTTGCTGTAAGAAGGTTCTCCATTGTGCATGTGGAAGGGCTCAGGCTGCATTGCAGCAGGTGGTCAGTGGTTTGCTCTTCTCCACACTCGCATGTCGAGGATTCCACTTTGTAGCCCCATTTCTTGAGGTTGGCTCTGCATCTCGTGGTGCCAGAGCGCAGTCTGTTCAGCACCTTCCAAGTCGCCCAGTCTTCTGTGTGCCCAGGGGGGAGTCTCTCATTTGGTATCAGCCATTGGTCGAGGTTCTGGGTTTGAGCCTGCCACTTTTGGACTCTCGCTTGCTGAGGTCTTCCAGCGAGTGTCTCTGTAGATCTTAGAAAACTATTTCTAGATTTAAGTCGTTGACGTGCTGGCTGATACCCAAACAGGGGATGAGCTGGAGATGTCTCTGCCTTGGTCCTTTCACTATTGGCTGCTACTTCCCGGCGGATGTCAGGTGGTGCAATACCGGTTAAGCAGTGTAATTTCTCCAGTGGTGTAGGGCGCAGACACCCCGTGATAATGCAGCATGTCTCATTAAGAGCCACATCCACTGTTTTAGTGTGGTGAGATGTGTTCCACACTGGGCATGCATACTCAGCAGCAGAGTAGCATAGCGCAAGTCTTCACTGTGTCTGGTTGTGATCCCCAGGTTGTGCCAGTCAGCTTTCGTATGATAGTTGTTTCTAGCACCCACTTTTTGCTTGATGTTCAGGCAGTGCTTCTTGTAGGTCAGAGCACGGTCCAGAGTGACTCCCAGGTATTTGGGTGTGTTGCAATGCTCCAGTGGGATTCCTTCCCAGTTGATCCTCAGAGCTCGGGATGCTTGTCTGTTCTTGAGATGAAAGGCACATGTCTGTGTTTTAGATGGGTTGGGATCAGCTGGTTTTCCCTGTAATAGGCAGTAAGAGCACCTGGAGCTTCAGAGCTTCTGTTCTACCATCTCAAAGCTCCCTGCTTGAGCTGTAATGACACGATCATCAGCATAGATGAAACTCTCTGTCCCTTCTGGCAGACTGATAACAACAGATACACTTGATCTTAGCCAAAAGACCAAGAGGCGATCAAAAGTGGGACAAAACAAGAATGCCTCCTTTCTTCCATTCTCCTTGCACTGGCAATAGAGGTAAAAGTAAAGGTAAAGGTTTTCACCTGACATTAAGTCTAGTCGTGGACAACTCTGGGGGTTGGTGCTCATCTCCATTTCTAAGCCGAAGAGCCAGTGTTGTCCCTAGACACCTCCAAGGTCATGTGGCCAGCATGACTGCATGGAGCACCATTACCTTCCCCTCCGGAGCAGTGTTTTGTGTTGTTCATGGGACCCCAGTGTGCCAGGTTTGGTTCAATTCTATCGCTGGTGGAGTTCAGAATGCTCTTTGATTGTAGGTTAACTATCAATTACAGTAACTACAACTCCCAAATGTCAAGGTCTATTTCTTCCAAACTCCATCTGTGTTCATATTTGGGCATATGGAGTATTCGTGCCAAGTTTGGTCTAGATCCTTCATTGTCGAAGGCTTTCATGGCCGGAATCACTGGGTTGTTGTAGGTTTTTTCGGGCTATATGGCCATGGTCTAGAGGCATTCTCTCCTGACGTTTCCTCTGAAGATGCTTGCCATAGATGCAGGCGAAACGTCAGGAGAGAATGCCTCTAGACCATGGCCATATAGCCCAAAAAAACCTACAACAACCCAGTAGATCCATCATTGTTTGAGTCTACAGTGTTCTCTGGATGTAGGTGAACTAAAACTCCAAATCTCAAGGTCAATGCCCACCAAACCCTTCTAGTGTTTTCGGTTGGTCATGGGATACCCGTGTGCCAAGTTTGGTTCAGTTCCATCGTTGGTGGAGTTCAGAATGTTTCTTTGATTGTAAATGAACTATAAATCCCAGCAACTATAACTCCCAAATGACAAAATCAAATTTTTCAAGTAATGGTCACTCCTTGAGTTAGTAAGTGTCGTATATTCAAACTTGGTGGCAATTCGTTCAGTGGATTTTGAGTTAAGATGTCATTCAAAACAAACCAAGCAGATAGAATCATACTTGCTTCATGACTGATGAATTAAAATAATACTCGAATCAAGGATACTATTTTTCCCAGTGGATGTGGGGTTCAGGGGGAAGGAGGGGACAAAAAACTGCTGGATACAAGTGGTAGATAAGTGTGGAATTATAATTGGCAAGGGCATGCTTTTTAATATCTACATGAAACCGCTGGAAGAGGTCATCCGGAGTTTTGGAGTTAGGTGCCACCTCTATGCAGATGACACACAACTCTACTACTCATTTCCACCCAACTCCAAGGAGGCCTCTCAGGTGCTGGACGAGTGCCTGGCCGCTGTGTCTATCTGGATGAGGAGGAACAAGCTGAAGATCAATCCCGACAAGACAGAGGTCCTCCTGGTCGATCGCAAACCTGACCGGGGTATAGGGTGGCAACCTGTGTTGGACGGGGTTACACTCCCCCTGAAGCCACAGGTCCGCAGTTTGGGAGTCCTCTTGGATTCATCGCTTACGCTTGAGGCTCAGGCGTCGGCGGTGTCTGGGAGGGCTTTCGCACAATTAAGACTCGTGCGCCAACTGCGACCGTACCTCGCGAAGGCTGATCTGGCCGGAGTGGTCCATGCCTTGGTCACCTCTAGGGTGGATTACTGTAATGCGCTCTACGTGGGGCTGCCCTTGAAAACGGCTGGAAATTCCAACTGGTCTAACGGGCAGCGGCCAGTTTGTTAGCAGGTGCTCCTTACAGAGAGAGGTCAACCCTCCTGTTCAAGTAGCTCCACTGGCTGCCGTTTATCTTACGAGCCCAATTTAAGGTGCAGGTGCTTACCTACAAAGCCCTGAACGGTTTGGGACCAGCCTACCTGCGTGATTGCATCTCCGTCTACGAACCCACATGCTCTCTTCGTTCATCTGGAGAGGCCCTGCTCGTGATCCCACCTGCGTCACGAGCGCGTTTGGTGGGGACACGAGACAGGGCTTTTTCCGTGGTTGCCCCCCGACTCTGGAACACCCTCCCCAAAGATCTTAGACAGGCCCCTACATTGGCAGTCTTCAGAACGAACTTGAAGACCTGGCTGTTCCGATGCGCCTTCCCCGAAGAGGAAACCTCCAATACCAAGTCCCATAAGCACTTTATTAAAGCTAAGGCCGCCGCACACTGCACACTGCACTTGCCCATAAGCCTCATATTCCACCCGTCACATCAGCACTTTTAACTCTTGTACCCTTACTCTGGCTTGGCCCAGTTTTATTGTGTCTTAGTGGATTGTTCATTGTTTGTTGTTTAAATTGCTTTAATTATTTTTAATTTGCCTAGGTTTTTGTATTGTTGTATTGTGTGTTGAGGCCTCGGCCTTTGTAAGCCGCATTGAGTCCTTCGGGAGATGCTAGCGGGGTACAAATAAAGTTTAATAATAATAAATAATAATAATAAGAAAATAGGACATATTATATTGAGTGAAAACGTAAGGAGAACATCACTAGGTGGTAGGAAAGAAGACCTGATAGATCATGAAGTATGACATATTCCTTTCTTTCCAGGTGGAGAGAGGTGGGCGCCTACTGCTGTGAAGCTGAGAGCGACGAGTCCCTTGAGGAAGGCACATGCAGCAAATTTGGAAGAGGTGAGTCTTACCCTTTTTGGTAAACAGAGACCTGTCATGGACTAGACCTGACTCCTTCTTCATCCCATTATGACAAACTGTGTTGCCATCCCTAGACATTTTTCACTGCCTCTTACAAGACAGTCTTGTCCTCTGAGATAGCTGTTGTGATGAGACCCAACAAGACCCAACTCCCATCAGCTCCAGATCTGGTCAGCTCCAGCTCCCATCAGCCCTACATCTGGCTGACTGGAATTCCCACCAGCCTCAGATTGGACTGGAACTCCCATCAGCCACAAATCTGGCAGGGCTTCAACTCCCATCAATCCCAGATCTTGCTAGACTGCAACTCACAGCTTTCCTCCTAACCAGTCAGATAGGTCAGGCTTCTTGTTGGAGTGCAATTCCCATCATCTCCAGTCTGCCTAGTGAAGGGGTAAGGATGTTGGAAGATGTAGGTTGGCTGTTGCCCAGGGGATGCCAGGATGATTTGATGTTTTTTATCATCTTTGTGGGAGGCTTCTCTCATGTCCCCGCATGAGGAGCTGGAGCTGATAGAGGGAGCTCATCCGCCTCTCCCGGATTCGAACCTGCGACCTGTCGGTCTTCAGTCCTGCCAGCACAAGGCTTTAACCCACTGCGCCACCGGGGCTCCTTCTAATGTAAATAGTTGTACAATAAATTAGTTTATAGCCTAAAGGAGACTGAAATCGATGTGTGGATTCAAACCTCCAACCTTTTGGTCAGCAAGTTCAGCAGCTCAGCAGTTTAACACTGTGCCACCAGGGGCCCAATAATATAATAATCCCATATTTACTCAAGTCTAATGCTTAACCCTCTTTTTGGGGGGCTAAATTACCTTGCATATATCAGGGTGAGCATTTGATTCCATATGATAATCTTAGTGCTGAGTCAAAGCAAACAGGGAAGCTTCTTCAGGAACTGTGTCTGGAGCTCCTACTTGAGGGGTGTCATCTCCAATTTAACTAACACGGCTCAATGCTATGCAAACCTAGGATTTGTAGTTTTGGTGAGGCACCAGAGAAGACTCAAGAAGGGCAGTTAAAGTGGATCCATTCTACAACATAGATGCAGCACAAGGCTTTCCTTTCCATTGCTGGGAGTTTTGGCACTCTAACACTTTAATTGATATATATAGTTTTTTTTACAGTTTTATAATATTGTGTTTTATTTATATTTTTATTATCTGAATCTGGCATTGAATTATTGTTTGTAAGCTGCACTGAGCCCCCCCTTCGGGGGTAAGAAGGGCTGGGTATAAGTACAACAACAACAACAATTTTTTTTTGGTCGTGTCAGGAGCGACTTGAGAAACTGCAAGTCGCTTCTGGTGTGAGAGAATTGGCCGTCTGCAAGGACCTTGCCCAGGGGACACCCGGATGATTTTTTATCATCCTTGTGGGAGGCTTCTCTCATGTCCCCGCATGAGAGCTGGAGCTGATAGAGGGAGCTCATCCACCTCTTCCCGGATTCAAACCTGCGACCTGTCGGTCTTCAGTCCTGCCGGCACAGGGGTTTAACCCACTGCACCACCGGGGGCTCCTAACAACAACAACAACAATAATAATAGTAGTAGTAATAATAACAATAATAATATCTCATTTGCTGTGCCATACTGTGTTTTTGTGCCAGTAAAATTGTGCTGGCACGGTAGTGCCAGGAGATTTGAATTCCTTTTCTTGCACTGCTAGTTTGCATGAATTTATTTAAGGTTGCAATCATAGGGCCAACAACTTGGCAATCATCGTTAGAATCTTTAGACCCACCCCTTTTCCCAGGGTTTTGGAGGCAAAGGAGGACCTTTGTTCAGTCTCACTGTTTTGGAGCCTAACAGCAGGACGTGTGGGTCTCTCTCTCCCACCTGTCCAAAGGCTTCACTTCTCACAGCTTTTGCTGGGGGTTAAAGAAATAGATCCACAGCTCTGCTGAGGAGTAAAGAAATAGTTCCTACAGCCTTCGTGGAGAAACTAAAGGACACCTTTCAGCTTGGCAGATCTACAGGAACCTTGCCTGGTAAGGGACCACTTGGGCTATCCGTAATGCAGCTTGAAGCCGGGAGTAGGGGCCTCACGCCAGCAAGGCAAAAAGAGATTGCCCAGGGAGGGGTCAAAGGATTTCCCTAAGGAAGAAAGGAACAGTTTGCCACCAGTTGCCTGCCCCTTGTTGGCAGATTGAGGAAGCTACCAGTTTTCCAAGGTTATAAAGTGTTTAATTCATTTGTTTGAAGATTTAAGCCCAAATAAAGAACTTTGTTGAACTTATCTTGAGCCTAAATAGAACTTTGTGTTGGGAAATCTAAAGGGCCCTTCAGCCGAGGCACCCCAGCATCCCGTTGGGCATACAGAAGGAACGTCCTGTAAACAGACATTATTTCAGGCCCAACGTGCGACATCACAGTGTTCCTGTTCAGAAGATTTCAACTCATTTTCCATCGGGTTGTTGTAGGTTTTTTCGGGCTGAGAGGTACTTAGACGTCCCTGCCTGCTTCCTGCTTCTTCTTCTGTTGTTGTACCTCTCAACAAAAGTTTGCTCCAGGCACAGTCAGCCCATTGTATGTAAGGTGGTCAGTTGAAACATTCACACCTAGCTCCAGCAGACAAGAGTCCTTTGTCTCACCCTGGTCATTGCACAGATATATAAACCCATTTTCCTAGTTCCAACAGACCTCACTACCTTCCAAGGTTATAAAGTGTTTAATTCATTTGTTTGAAGACTTGAGCCCAAATAAAGAACTTTGTTGAACTTATCTTGAGCCTCAATAGAACTTTGTGTTGGGAAATCTAAAGGGCCCTTCAGCTGAGGCACCCCGGCGTCCCGTTGGGCATACAGAGAACACGTCCTGTAAACAGACATTATTTCAGGCCCAGCGTGTGACAGCACAATAATAATAATAATAATAATAATAATAATTCTTAAAGAAGGAATCCATAGCGTGCAACAACTGTAATGAGTACGTTTTTGGCCCAATTACAAAGAGTGCACTTTTTGCTACTGCACACTACATTCACCAGCAAATGCTTTTTCTTGGTTTCAGGGTTTTGAAAATCAAGGTGCACACTAGATTCGATGGCACATTAGACTTGAGTAAATATGGGTAGATATGCATACTTTGGCACACATCGTTGCACACTTCTATTTTGGAGATGCTCTTTCTTTGATTTCTGTACCCTGGTCTCAATCAACACTGCAACTTTTGGTCTTTTTATGTATATTTTCAGAAGTTGGCGGATTGTCTACTGTCATCGAAGAGTCAGAGACAACGATTGTGGGATAGAGAATTGAAGCGGAAGAATCTTCCCCATCTGTGAGCTGGCCCTCAAGGACATGAGCAATTTGATGGAGATGGCCCTGACTAGAGCGTCTTGGATGCCGCTTGGATTTTCATGGACACCGAGTCAAGATCCATGGCCTGGATTTTCATGTCTGGAAGCTCAAAGAACACATCTTCCTTCTTTCTTGCCCTGGAGACTTTTTACATATTTTTAGAAGAGGAGAAAGCTGGCAGATTCCATCTGGAGACGATTCCCCATCCTTGTGCAGCACGGAGAGTTCCCCTGGTCTTGGAATCATTCGGGCGGGGAAAGCCATTCCCTTCCTGGCCTTTCAGCAACAGAGAGACTGCATTCGTATAACTCTTGCCAGTGAAAGATTTTGTGAAAATGTAGTTACTTCTACCAGTAGCTTCATGTTGAATCTAAGGCTCCATAAGACGTTGGCTATTCCAGCTTGCAGGTGCCTCAAAGGGAAAGAGGTCTATAGATAATGTTTTTCTACATTTGGAACATCCTTTGTAATGTCTCCGTTTTTTTAAAAAACGTATTTAAATTTGTATATAGAACATTTGATTTTTAACATGTGTGTGGGGGAAAATAAACTTTATCCATGAAAGAAGTTGTTTCCTCGCTTTGCTGTGAGAAAGTCCACCCAGAACAATGTTTTTTTTTAAAAAAAATAATGCTTTATTTATGTACATTAACAGCATTAACAGCTTACAGTGTCAACAGAACATGAAACAATGAACATTTTACAAACACATAACCCCACCACCAAGGCCTGACCAAGTATCCTTTCCTTTGCCATAAATGTATAAGTCAACCATTAACCAAATGTCAAATCCAAAATTCCAATGTTGTTGTTGTTGTTCATTCGTTCAGTCGTCTCTGACTCTTCGTGACCTCATGGACCAGCCCACGCCAGAGCTCCCTGTCGGCCACCACCCCCAGCTCCTTCAAGGTCAGTCCAGTCACTTCAAGGATGCCATCCATCCATCTTGCCCTTGGTCGCCCCTCTTCCTTTTGCCTTCCACTTTCCCCAGCATAATTGTCTTCTCTAGGCTTTCCTGTCTCCTCATGATGTGGCCAAAGTACTTCAACTTTGTCTCTAGTATCCTTCCCTCCAATGAGCAGCCGGGCTTTATTTCCTGGAGGATGGACTGGTTGGATCTTCTCGCAGTCCAAGGCACTCTCAGAACTTTCCTCCAACACCACAGTTCAAAAGCATCTCTCTTCTTTCGCTCAGCCTTCCCTAAGGTCCAGCTCTCACATCCGTAGGTTACTACAGGGAATACCATGGCTTTGACTAGGCAATGGATCTTTGTTGCCAGTGTGATGTCTCTACTCTTTACTATTTTATCGAGATTGGACATTGCTCTCCTCCCAAGAAGTAAGCGTCTTCTGATTTCCTGGCCACAGTCTGCATCTGCAGTAATCTTTGCACCTAGAAATACAAAGTCTGTCACGGCCTCCACAGTTTCTCCCTCTATTTTCCAGTCGTCAATCATTCTTGTTGCCATAATCTTGGTTTTTTTGACGTTTAGCTGCAACCCGGCTTTTGCGCTTTCTTCTTTCACCTTGATTAGAAGGCTCCTCAGCTCCTCCTCGCTTTCGGCCATCAGAGTGGTGTCATCTGCATATCTGAGGTTGTTAATGTTTCTTCCAGCAATTTTCACCCCAGCTTTGCATTAATCAAGCCCCGCACATCGCATGATGTGTTCTGCATACAAGTTAAAAAGGTTGGGTGAGAGGATGCAGCCTTGCCGTACGCCTTTCCCAATCTTGAACCAGTCTGTTGTTCCGTGGTCAGTTCTGACTGTTGCTACTTGGTCCTTGTACAGATTCCTCAGGAGAGAGACAAGGTGGCAAAATTCCAATCAGTAGCCTTTATTGTATTGTTTTCCTTTTTCAGTCAGTCAGTAGTCTTTATTTCGGTCAACAAACCATCGGCTAAATCAAGTGAAAGTAGATGATGAAATACAACATTTAAGTAATTAATAACATCACATTTGCCTTATGATTAATGAAATCAAGTATCACCATTCTCTATCGGTTGAATGACAGTCTAAAACAGGAACTTTTTTTTTGTTGTGTCAGGAGCGACCTGAGAAACTGCAAGTCGCTTCTGGTGTGAGAGAATTGGCTGTCTGCAAGGATGTTGCCCAGGGGACGCCCGGATGTTTTTGATGTATTACCATCCTTGTGGGAGGCTTCTCTCATGTTAGAGATTGTGAGGTCTGAGGATGCCTGCCATAGATGCAGGTGAAATGTCAGGAGAGAATGCTTCTAGTACAGGGCCATACAGCCCGAAAAACCTACAACAACCCAGAAAATATGTCCCTTTGTGCATGCCACATCTCTGGCAGAGGTTACTTTGTTTACTATCAATCTGATGTAGTTTTGATGGGGAGATATTGGAAAAATAGATATTTATTTATGTATAATTTGTATGTACTTTACAAGCACTGAAATGTATAGAAAAATCAAGTTCTCTCTCTATTAGAAAGAATGCTGAAGGAGATCTGTGTCCAAGGCACGGGCAGGAGGCGAGATGAACATTCCAGGAAAGGTGGGGGGAGATAAGCCCATCCTAGCACCAACAGAGATAAGTAAAAAGTAAGGAGCCAATCCCCCTCCCTCCTGACAAGTCAAAGTAGGCCCCTTGATTGATGAATGTAAGCTGTAAGCTGTATACTGCTCTTTAGAAAGAAATACAGATACATGCCTTTCGCATGTTGGAAGATAGAATTTGATATTCCTATGATGCTAAAGTGATGCAGAGAATCATGTCAATGTATGTAGAAGCATGTTTCTTTGTTTGCCTGCATGTGAAATGTATAAAAAGGCAGTCAACGCCTTTATCGGGCACTCTGGTTGCTTTTGGACACAGTTCCACTCCAAGGTCCCAGCTGGAAATAAACGTACTTTTCTATCTCCTGGAAGGATCTCTCTTGATATAATATCTCCCATATTTGCTGCAACAGTTTAACCAGAGTGGCATACCATCTTCACACGACTTAGTATACATTTTATTTTAATCTTATTGACAGATTCTTAACCATTCTCCACTTCAGAACCCTTTTCCAATCAAGGTCCATCAGAGGCACTAGGTCTCTTTCCCAAACCTTTTCTAACAGCTTCAGCCCTATTTCTTTGCCTATTGATCCATTGTATATATTCCCAATGAATCCTTTCTCCAATATTCCTTGCTTTTTAAGTTTACTTAGCCATTCTTCATATGTATTCAACTCTCTACATCTGGGATTCTTACCTAACCAGTCCTTTTCCCAATTATATAGCTGTTCAATGTATTGTCGAAGGCTTCCATGGCCGGAATCCATGGGTTGTTGTAGGTTTTTCTGGGCTATATGGCCATGTTCTGGAGGCAATTTTTCTCCTGACGTTTCGCCTGCATCTATGGCAAGCATCCTCAGAGGTAATGAGGACCTCATTACCTCTGAGGATGCTTGCCATAGATGCAGGCGAAACGTCAGGAGAAAAATTGCCTCCAGAACATGGCCATATAGCCCGGAAAAACCTACAACAACCCATATATAGCTGTTGCCTCTCAAACCAATTCAGGACACCTTGTTTTTCTAACTTATTAAATTTGCCCATCAAATTATTCACAATTAATCACTTAACCCTCAAGTGTAATCCAGACCATTCCAATAGTCACTGCACATCATCCCAAATCTATCTATTGCACTAGTTCTCCAAAGGATTGGTCACAGAGCCACATTTTCACTCTCTTACGGAAGGTCAGGAGGGAGGGGGAGGGAATTCTACAGCCAAGGGGCCACCACTGAGAAGACCTTGTCTCTCATCCCCTCCAACTGCACCTGTGAAGGAGGCAGGACCAAGAGCAGGGCTTCCCCTGACGATCTTAAACTCCGAGATGGTTCATAGGAGGAGATTCGTTCGGACAGGTAAGCTGGAACTGTTTAGGGATTTAGGCTAAGACTAGCACTTTGAATTATGCTCGGTAGCAGGCTGGCAGCCAGTGGAGCTGACGTAACAGGGGGGTTGTGTGCTTCCTGTACGCCACTCCGGTGAGCAATCTGGCTGCTGCCCATTGGACAATTTGAAGCTTCTGAACAGTCTTCAAAGGCAACCCCACCTAGGGTGTGTTGCAGTAGTCTATACAGGATGTAACCAGAGCATGGACTACCTTGGCCAAGTTTATTTATCAACTTCTTTCAAAGCAAAAGCCTCTATTCTATAAACTGTTCCTAATTCTTATTTTTAAATTATTTTTAAAGTCCATCTAAACAAATAAGAAAATGACCCTACATGGAAAAACACCCCCCCCCCAATTGCTCCCCAAAGAATTTGTAAGATGAAGGAGAAATGAGTCAGTGCCATCTTTAACATGGGAAATGTAATGACATTAATGACATTTCAAGAATATAAGCTGAGGCACCTAATTTTACCACAAAAAACAAACAAACTGGGAAAACGGATTGACTCGAGTATAAGCCGAGAGTGGGAAATGCAGCAGCTACTGGTAAATTTCAAAATAAAATTGGATTCCAATAAAATTACATTAATTGAGGCACCTGTAAGTTAAATGTTTTGGAATATTTACATAAAATAAAAACATAACCCAGTAACAAACATCATCATAACTTATTGGAAGCCAATGGATCTGTTTAAACAGGGGGTTGACCATTCCCTATAATGGGCTCCCTTTAGCAGTCTGGCCGCCGATCTTTGGACGAACTGCACTTTCCAGGCGGTCTTCAAGGGCAGCCCCACATAGTGTGTGTTACAGTAATCCAACCTAGAGGTAACTAGGGTGTGGACCACCATGGCCAAGTCAGACCTCAGAAGGTACAGGCGCAGCTAGCGCACTAGCTTTAACTGTGCGAAGGCCCTCCCAGCCACCGCTGACACCTGAGTTTCCAGGGTCAATGCAGAGTCCAGAAGGACCCCTCAGACTGTGGACCTGCATCCTTAGGGGGAGTCTGATACTATTGAGCACAGGTAGCCACCCTATATCCCACTCAGCCTTAGGACTGACCAAGAGGCTCCCGTTTTTGTCAGGATTGAGCCAATTGCATTTTCAAACTGCATTATGTGGCAGTGTAGATGGAAACATATAGTAGAGTAGATGGAAACATGAAGTAGAAACATACATTTAGAGTCACCCCAATGTGAAAAAGCAGCACACTGGCAGATTTATTTGGTAGCTTGAGAAATGAAAGAGATCTGATTAGGGCAGCGTTTCTCAACCTGGGGATCAGGACCCCTGGGGAGGGGGTGTCATGAGGAGGCGTCAGTGGTGTCACCAAAGACCATCAGAAAACACCGTCTTTTCTATTGGTCATGGGGGTTCTGCGTGGGAAGTTTGGCCCAGTTCTGCCATTGGTGGGGTTCAAAATGCTCTTTGATTATAGGAGAACTATAAATCCCAGCAACTACAACTCCCAAATGTCAAGGTCTACTTCCCCCAAACTCCACCTGTATACACATTTGGGCATATTGAGTACTTTTTGCCAAGTTTGGTCCAGATCTATCATTGTTTGAGTGCACAGTGCTCTCTGGATGTAGGTGAACTACAACTACTACAACTCCAAAACCCAAGGTCAATGCCCACCAAACCCTTCCAGTATTTTCTGTTGGTCATGGGAGTTCTGTGTGCCAATTTTGGTTCAATTCCATCATTGGTGGAGTTCAGAATGGTCTTTGATTGTAGGCGAACTATAAATCCCAGCAACTACAACTCCCAAATGTCAAGGTCTATTTCCCCCAAGCTCCACCTGTATACACATTTGGGCATATTGAGTATTTGTGCCAAGTTTGGTCCAGATCCATCATTGTTTGAGTCCACAGTGCTCTCTGGAGGTAGGTGAACTACAACTCCAAAACTCAAGGTCAATGGCCACAAAACCCTTCCAGTATTTTCTATTGGTCATGGGAGTTCTGTGTGCCAATTTTGGTTCAATTCCATCATTGGTGTTCAGAATGGTCTTTGATTGTAGGTGAACTATAAATGCCAGCAACTACAATTCCCAAATAACTAAATCAAACCTTCCCCAACACCACCAAGTATTTCAATATGGGCGTATCAAGTATTTGTGCCAAATTTGGTCCAGTGAATGAATATCTGCATATCAGATATTGACATTACGGTTCATAACAGGAGCAAAATTACAATTTATAGAGTAGCAAAAAAAATAATTTTTGTGGTTGGGGGTCATCACAACCTGAGGAACTGGGGGTCACGGCATTATTAAGGTTGAGAAACACTGGATTGGGGAGGGGGGGAACCCAAATAAATATAAAACGAGCATAGTGTTTTTGAATTAGGATTATTGTGAAAGCTGGAGAGGGAGGAGAGAAAAAACCCAACCTGGAATTTTTTGAAAGTAGCAGTGCTTGTTCCAAAGTAAGAAGGATGATGATAGAAAGTTCCATGGCAGTTGGATGCTCATCCAGTATCCTGTTCTACAGAGATCTCTGAATTCTTGGCAGGAAAATAAATCAAGAATTGAGTGAGATTCAGTCAAGGAAAGTTAGGTTTGATTTGGGAACAGAATCACATTTTTTCTGGATTAAGCACTAACGACAATAAATAAATTCTGCCCATAGAAGGAAGGCAGTTTGCATGAAGTTCTCGTGAAGGCATTCCTGTATTTTATGGTAAGGTATATACTCTGCTCATTGGTAAAGCTCTCAAAGCTGTTTACATGTTAAGTAACAAAAAGAAAATTAGTAATTTGTGTAATAAAACCATTTATTTTCATATCAAAACATGAAACTATCCTTGGTCCAGCTACCAAAGTGCCTTTGTAAGCATTTCTAGGCTGCATGAACAGAACCGAATGAAGGTACTGCATGTCCCATCATCCATGGTCCACCCTTCTTCAAACTACAGCAGAATGTAGAGTGGGTCATGGGGGCTCTGTGTGCCAAGTTTGCTCTTGATCAGTCATTGGATGAGGGTCGCAGTGGTTTCAGTAAGTGAGCGAAGGTACTGCAAATCCCGTCATCCATGATAAGTTGCCACAAATTAAGCTCAGATTTGTTTCAGGAGACATGGAGTGCATTTCCACCATATTTTACAGTCTGGTTTTTGAAACCGGTCCATTTTTTGAAACCCCAAACTTAGCGAAATGGTTTCCTACTGCCTACAGTGTTTGGGTCCAAACATGTGTGTTTCCTTTTATTATTTTGGAAGCAGGTGTAGGACACAATGGTCTTGTATTGGGATAATACACCGTATTTCTCTAGACTTCCATAGTTGTTCACTATGGACTCTAAGAAATTGACTTAGATCAGTGTTTCTCAACCTTCCTAATGCCACAACCCCTTAATACAATTCCTTATGTTGTGGTGACCCCCAACCATAACACTATTTTTGTTGCTACTTCATAACTGTCATGTTGCTACTGTTATGAATTGTAATGTAAATATCTGATATGAAGGATGTATTTTCATTCACTGGACCAAATTTGGCACAAATACACAATACACCCAAATTTGAATACTGGTGGGATTGGGTGATGGGGATTGATTTTGTCATTTGGGATTTATAGTTCACCTACAATCAAAGAGCATTCTGAACTCCACCAATGATGGAACTTCCTGACTGTGAGAGCTGTTTAGCAGTGGAACTCTCTGCCCCAGAGGGTGGTGGAGGCTTCTTCTTTGGAAGCTTTTAAACAGAGGCTGGATGGCCATCCGTCGAGGTGCTTTGAATGCAATTTTCCTGCTTCTTGGCAGAATGGGGTTGGACTGGATGGCCCATGAGGTCTCTTCCAACTCTATGATTCTTCACAATGTGCTGCAAATAGGTTAAGGGTCCCTGGTTGAACATCTCAATGTATTGAAACAGCTGTAGATCCTGGCGGAAGGCAGACTGCATCGGATAATACAGAACATTGGATGAGCGAAGGTTGGATAAGTGAGACATTATTGTAGCTGCTTTGACAGATGGTGATCAGGCAGTCAGGCAACGTGGCATTTGGTCCAACCAAGTTGATGGCTGAGAATCTTTGCATGCACTAACTCAGTGGTTCCCAACCTTTGGGCCTCCAGGTGTTTTGGACTTCAGCTCCCACAATTCCTAACAGCTGGTAAGATGGCTAGGATTTCTGGGAGGTGTAGTCCAAAACACCTGATGGCCCAGAGGTTGGGAACCACTGCACCAACTGAACTCTTGAACAGTGGACAATATTGTGCCACAGCAAATATAAGGGAATTTACATATTCCCTTACCTAACCTTTTTGACTCTGTAAAATTCTCCTTTCAGGAGGAAGATAAGGGACTCGTTCGTCCAGTGGACAGTGCGCCCATCACTACCAAAACCAGCAGGCATGGCAGTGCAAGAGTAATCCCCCCGTACCCAGTCCATCAGGACAGCCACCAGCCCTTTATTTTCTGCCTGGTAGGACTCTATAGCTGTCGGTGGAAGAAATACAGCCAGAAAACAGCAAGGCCAGGGCAGTGCTGTTGTGGCAAGGTAAACGGGGATTTCCACTCTCTCAAAATACAGACACACACACAGATGCACAGAGAAATACAGATTTTAAAGGAAAGTTTTCTTAAGTAGCTTTATAGATGTTGATTTGACCAAGTTTTCTTAAGTAGATTTCAAAATATTCACTTAACTATTCACTTAACTATTGCTCTTGTCAGGGCCCCTTGGTGGCGCAGCGGGTTAAAACGCTGAGCTGTTGAACTTGCTGACCGAAAGGTTGGTGGTTCGAATCCGGGGAGCAGGGTGAGCTCCTGCTCACTGCCAACCTAGCAGTTTGAAAACATGCAAATGTGAGTAGATCAATAGGTACTGCTTCTGTAGGAAGGTAACGGTGCTCCATGCAGTCATGCCGGCCACATGACCATGGAGGTGTCTACAGACAATGCCGGTTCTTCGGCTTAGAAATGGAGATGAGCACCACCCCCCAGAGTTCGACACGACTAGACTTAATGTTGAGGGGAACGGTTTACCTTTACCTTTACCTTATAGCTCTTGTTATGGTGATGATGCAGGAAAGGTGCTTCTCTGGGGACTGGAAAAGTGGAGAAAGCTGCCAATTTCACAAAGAGGAAGGGAAAAGGTGAAAGAAAGCAGTTTATAGTTTAGGCAGAAAAATAGAGAACTAAGGTCGGATAACATTTCCCCAAAGTACAGTGTGCTAGTACGTCTGTACCAGGAGCTCTAACTTTATTTTCTTTCTATAAAATGTTTTCATGCATTCCAAGGCTTCAGGGATTTTGCAAAAGGTGACTTCCCTTGGTTTGCAGTCATGGGGCAAGCCACTTGTCTATCATTGTTAAGTTTGGATCCGCCCCTTCTCCCAGGGACATGGGAGGAGATGGAGCCATTTTTAGTTAGTCTTACAGAAGGAAACCAAGATATAGGACATGGAGTAGCTTCACCCGCAGAAAAGCTTCACTTCTTAAGAATTCCAGGGAATTCTGGGGAGAACAGTCTCAAAGCTCTGGCAGGGAGCTTACAGACTCTCAGCCTTAGAGCATCTGAGGGAAACAGCCCTAAAAGGTTCCTTAAGACATTCCGGGGGAAAGCAGCTTTACAGACCCAAAGAACTCCAGCTGGAGAATCTGCAAGCCTTTACTGGTACATCTACTCGGTGCTCAAGACGCAGTTTGAACCCGGTAGTAGAACCCACATCAGTAAGGCTTAGAAAGTAGACAGCCTGGGAGAGGTTAAAAAAGGGTTTTCCTCTTAAAGTGAAAGAGCAGTTAATGAAGACAGTTGCCTGTCCCTTGAGGACAAGAGTAAGGAAGCCACCAGTTAACTCAAAGCTTTGAAGCATTTGTTTGACTCATTGAAGATTTGAAAAGTATCTGTTTAATTTGTTCAATAATAAAGGATTTTGTTAAATCATTAAAGACTCTAAGACCATTTCTACAGGAAAACCCTTGAGGGCCTCTCTTCGAGGCACCCTGGCTTTCCGCTGGGCACAAAGTGCACGTCCTATTCAAAGTCAATTGTTACAGGCCCAGCGCGTGACAGAACATACAGGTTTCATTCTGGCTTGGGTTTGAGTTGGTGCCTTCCAAAGCTATGTAGGTAACCTTCCAAGGCTATGTAGTTTGACATTAATGACACATGTTTCACCAGGAAGGAATCCGAAGGACTGGTACCACCACCGAAAAGGCTTTGCGGTACACCTCCTGCAGTCATAGCTAGGCCAAACCTATGGCGTTTCAAGCATACTGTGAAAGTTGGAATACAACACAAGCCATTCACAATTGGGTTGGATTTGGGTTGGATTGGGTTGATGAAACATAAGAGGGAAAATTAGGTCATTCTATTCCAGATACTGATTCCACAACAAAGTCACACTCAACAACATTAAAACGGATTATATGGATTATATGGAACATTAATCTTACTGTTCTTTCCTCTTATTCTTCCGTATAGGATGAATGTTTATTTTTCACACTGTTGCTTCTAGCATTCTCTCTCTGGTTCATCTTCCTGTACATGTGGTCGGAAGCAAAGAATGACTATCATAACTTCGATGGGTAAGTTCTCATGAACTTTTCCAATTCAAGAAAGACATGGACAAGTTAGAATATGTCCAGAGAAGGTCAACCAACATTATCAAAGATCTGGAAGCTGTGAATCCCTCTGAGGAGTGGCTTAGGGACCTGAGTATGTTTAGCTTGGAGAAGAGAAGACTGAGACGGGACATGAGATCCATGTTTATGTAAATATTTGAGAGGATGTCCAACTGAGGACAAGGAAAGCTTGTTCTCTACTGCTCTAGAGCACACAATGGAACAATGGATTCAAATTCCAGAAAAAGGGATTCTACATAAACTTTAGGAAGGACTTCCTGGTGGTAAGAGATGTTCAACAGCAGAACATACTGCTGCTAAGCCTGGGGTGCATCTAGACCAGTGGATTGCAACCTGTGGTCCGTTGACCATCAGTAGACTGCAAGAACTAAAATATGGTCCACGGCCTCACCATTACTACACAGTTTCAATGAGAGTGTCTGGTCTTGCGAAACCCTTTTTCAGTGCAGAGTGTTAACAAAATCCACAGATAATAACACAGCTCAAACAAAAAATTTTTTTTTCTTGATGTCTTCGTTTTTAGGTCTGGGTTTTTAGGTCTTGTTTTAGGCCTGGGGTTATTTGGGGTGCTGATTCAGAAAATTGCATTGGATAGACCACATCACCTCTGGATTATTGATTTTCTGTGGGCAAGCAGATGGTGATGACTGGCTAGCATATGTTCTGTATTAGAAACTTACTTACTTAGGTGATCCCTCATTGTCTGAGTAAGATTGTCCTCCAAGTGCGGTGTCCTGGTGGTGGGTCTGTAGTGAGTGTGGAGCCCTATTTTTGACCTGCATGTTCTCCTGCAGTGGAAGGTGGTCCCAGTCGAGGTTGGCTTGATGCACCTTCCTCTTGTCACATTTCTCTCTTTCGCCCTCAATTTGTGCCTCTTCGAAGTCTACAGCACTGCTGGTCACAGCTGACTTCCAGTTAGCATGCTCAAGGGCCAGGGCTTCCCAATTCTCAGTGTTTATGCCACAGTTTTTAAGGCTGGCTTTGAGGCCATCTTTAAATCTCTTTAAATCAGAAACTAGAGCTGATGCGGTCTATCCAATGCAATTTTCTGAATCAGCACCTCAAATAACCAAATTGAATCTGAAGTCGACCAAAAGCAGATTCATAACCCTTTTGGTACTTATGTTGGAGACTGGTCAGGGGCGGCTCAACCCATTATGCAAAGTAAGCATTTGCAGTATAGTTAATTTTGCCCAGGGGTGCTCTTGAGGCACTCTTGGGGGAAAACAGGCCTTGACATATGTGAGTTGTAGTTACTGGGATGTATAGTTCATCTACAATCAAAGAGCATTCTGAACTCCACCAATGATGGAATTGAACCAAATATGGCACACAGAACTCCCACGACAAACAGAAAATATATATCAGTGATTGGTTGGGGGGGGGGTATGGCAAAATACTGTTTGCTTACCATTGAAAATTACCTAGGGCCACCTCTGAGAGTGGTCCCTGGTCAAGTGGTCCCTGGTCAAAAAAAAAAAAGGTTGGGAATCATTGATCTAGATGCCCTCCCTAGGGATATCAGATCACCCCCTCCCTTTTAGCATTTTAGAGCAAAGTCAAGACTTGGTTTTTTCAGCAGGCATTTGCAAATACAGTATAACATACATAGGAAAATTCAATTTTCCGAATTGATGGTGTGATTGGACAATGTTTTTAACAAGGAGACCCTAATGATATAAGTTTTCTTATTTACTTTGCTATGGTTTTATATTATCTTAATATAATTGCATTTTATGGTCTTGGTACCGACTGCAAACTGCCCTGAGTTGCCTGCAGATTGAGAGGGACGGTATATAAATATAGTAAGTAAATAAGTAAGTAAATAAATAAAATAGAGTTAATGCATTTCAATGCTGCTTGAACTGCCATGACACAATACTGTGGAATTTTGGGATTTGTATTTTGGTGAAACACCAGCCTTTTGGGGCAGAGAAGGCTACAGATCTAGAACTACAGCTCCCAGGTCTGTATAGCATATGTTTTGAATCAGAAACTAGAGCTGATGTGGTCTATCCAATTCAATTTTCTGAATCAGCACCCCAAATAACCAAATTGTGCTGTCGCACGCTGGGCCTGTGCATCAACTGTAGACAGGACATAAATTCTGTGTGCCCAACGGGACGCCAGGGCTGCCTCAGATTAAAGGCCTTTGGATTTCCTTAAAACACAGTCTCTAGAATACTTAAAGGTTCAACAAAGCTTTATTAATGAAAACAAACAGGTACTTCAAGGCTTTCTTAATAGTCTATTGGCTCTCTCAATCTTGTTCACTGGGAACAGGCACTATCTTCATAAGCTGTAATTTAACTAATGGGGAAATCCTTAACTTCTAATCTGGGCAGTCTGTCTATGTCTCTGATGGCGTGGAGCCCCTACACCCGGTACCAACTGCGTCTGGCTTCTGCAAGTGACCCTTACCAAGCAGAGCTTTGTAGACTTCCAGGGAGAAAGGAGTTCAGCTTTCGGTGATGGCTGGCTGAAGTCCCTCAGCAAAGGAGCTGTAAGGCTGTACAACCCCGGTCAGGCTGTAGGCTGTATATCTCCCCGGCCAAGCCGTAGAAGACGAAGCTTTCTACAGGAGCTCTTGGTATTATGTCCTACATGGAAAGCTTCTCTGTGTGGACTGAACCCAAAAAGGCTCCTATTCCCTCCAAAAACCCCAAAGGGGGCGGGACCAGGGAACCTAAATATAATTGACAGGTGGCTTGCCCTATGATTGCAGCCAAAAGAAGCCACCTATCTGCAGAGTCCCTGAAACTTAGGACTATAACAAACATTACATGCAAAGCAAACAAATTTGGAGCTCCTGGTGCAGTTGTACCTGCACACAAACTGAATCTAAAGTAGTCCAAAAACTGATTCGTAACCTTTTTGGTACAAATGTTGGAGAGTGGTCCCTGGCCAAAGTGGTTCCTGGTCAAGTGATCTCTAGCCAAAAAGGTTGGGAACCACTGATCTAGACAGCAGAGTTAATGCAGTTCAATGCTGCTTGAACTGCTATGACTAAATACTGTGGAATCCTTGTACTTTGGTGAGACAGCAGACCTATTGGGCAGAGAAGGCTGCAGATCTCAAACTGCGACTCCCAGGCCCCCTTAGCATTGAGCCATGACAGTTAAAGCAATGTGAAACTGCATTCGTTCCACACTTTAGATGCATTTTTCATCTATCATTTTAGTGCTTTAATCACAGTTTATGTTGCAAAGTGTCTGTATATCTTTACACTCAGATAAATAGAAAAGTTATTTGTTATATGTTGCCCAGGTGTTAATTGCATGGCTACATGTGATTGTCTTGTGTTTTATTCTTAGGTATGCCTATGGGAATTTAGGCTTCTGGTTTCAGTGGTCCACGTTTGTCCTGTTCTTGGCACTGTTTTTATTTTTATACATTTTGTTCCTAGTGGTAAGTGCAAGTTTTTTCTTGAGAAACCTACCAAGGAGGAAATGATGACGGCAGTTCAATTTGAGTAAAGGTCTGGAGATGACACTGTATAATTTTGTGAATGTACAACATGGCTGGTGGAAGGAGCCATGTGTTCAGAGGCAAAGTATATGATTTGTTTTGGCAAAGTCCCAAATTCAATCTCTGATTGTTTGTTTGAATAACTATTGAGTATTGTCGAAGGCTTTCATGGCCAGAATCACTGGGTTGTTGTAGGTTTTTTCAGGCTATATGGCCATGTTCTAGAGGCATTCTCTCCTGACATTTCGCCTGCATCTATGGCAAGCATCCTCAGAGGTAGTGAGGTCTGTTGGAACTAGGAAAATAGGTTTATATATCTGTGGAATGACCAGGGTGGGACAAAGAACTCTTGTCTTTTGGAGGTAGGTGTGAATGTTTCAACTGGCCACCTTGATTAGCATTTGATGGCCTGGTAGTTGTTTGGTGTGGCTTGTTGGTGTCTGGGGCAATCTTTTGTTGAGAGGTGATTAGATGTTCTTGATTGTTTCCTCTCTGTTGTTTTGCTGTTGTAATTTTAGAGTTTTTTGTCCCACCCTGCTCTTTCCACCGATATATAAACCCTTTTTCCTAGTTCCAACAGACCTCACTACCTCTGAGGATGCTTGCCATAGATGCAGGCGAAACGTCAGGAGAGAATGCCTCTAGAACATGGCCATATAGCCTGAAAAAAACCTACAACAATCCAACTATTGAGTAACTATTGAGTAACACCTTGTTGTTTTTCCAACAAGGTGTATCCCTTAGAGCCCACGTGTAAGACCCAAGGTACGGCCCTCCATGTCGTTTTAAGTTGCTTCCAGAACCTGGATGAGATATCCCATATTCCTCACCATTAGGCGTCATGACTGGAGATGGTGGGAGTTGTGATACAGTAACATCTAGAAGGCTGCAGTTTTGTTCTGTTTAGTCAGAAGAGTGGGGTTTGAATTCAGACACAAGACTTGTGGATATGAGGTCTGACTTTAACCTTTCTCCAACTTCAGAACCACAAGTGCGGTCGGGTTGCAACTCCCATTATTCCCAGTCTGCATGGTGGATAATCAAAGGTTTGGGTCCCCAGATGTCACTGTCGTTCAGTAATATCTGAGGACCCAAACTGGGTAAAAAATAAAGAGCACTGACCACTACACACACACATAAGTAAAGGTTTCCCTTGACATTAAGTCTACTCAAGTCCGACTCTGGGGGTTGGTGCTCATCTCCATTTCTAAGCCAAAGAACCAGCATTGTCCATAGACGCCTCCAAGGTCATGTGGCCAGCATGATTGCATGGCCTGCCGTTACCTTCCCACAGAAGAGGTACCTATTGATCTACTCACATTTGCATGTTTTCAAACTGCTAGGGTGGCAGAAGCTGGGCCTAACAGTGTGAGCACACCCCGCTCCCCAGATTTGAACTGCCAACCTTTTGGTCAGCAAGTTCAGCAGCTCAGCTGTTCAATCCGCTATGCCACTAAGGGACTACATATGGCCTACAAAACAACATCTCATGCAACGTAACATATCTAAATAGGCATATAGCTGGGGGGGGGGGGGATGGCTTGGGGCCTTCAGCCCCCCCCCCCCAAATTCTCATGGTTGTTTGCGAAAAGGCCTTACTGGTGCATTATTTAAACTGTTATGTTTATTCATATCATGATCTGATCACCATACTCAATATATCCCATATGCATGGGGGTATTGGGGTAACGATACAAAAGGTTTGCTAGGGTAGACCCTCTTTCACTCAGACTCAGCCCCTCCTGAAACAACTCCTGCCCCGAATGGAAATCCTGGCTACGGGCCTGTATCTAAATGCAGAAACGCACTATACTAGCGCTAGACACCTCCTAGACACCTCCTAGGTTATGTTGCCAGCATGGCTGCTAGGAGCGCCGTTACTCTCCCACCAAAGCAGCACCTATTGATTTACTCACATTTACATGTTTTTGAACTGCTAGGTTGGCAGAAGCTGGGGCTAACAACGGGAGCTCACCCCATCCAGTGGATTTGAACTGCTGACCTTCCAGTCAGCAAGTTCTGCAGCCTAGCGATTTAACCCATTGTGCCACCACAGCCCCATATATATAGTTGTCCCTCTGTATCCACAGATTCTCCATCCACGGATTCAAGGGCCCTTTGGATGCAACTATAAGGCTGATATTGCCCTAGATGAAAATCAGTTTGAACTAGAAGGATCAACTATTTAAGACCTATTAATATGTTCCGTATATTAGAGGCTCCTCAAGTTGAGCCTTTTCCTCATCTTAATAGTCCCATGTCCCATACATTAGTGGTTATCCGGTGGCCCATACATTAGTGGTTATCCGGTGGCACAGTGGGTTAAAGCGCTGAGCTGCTGAGCTTGATGACCGAAAGGTCGCAGGTTCGAATCCGGGGAGCGACACGAGCTTCTGCTGTCAGCCCCATCTTCTGCCAACCTAGCAGTTCGAAAACATGCAAATGTGAGTAGATCAATAGGTACCGCTCTGGTGGGAAGGTAATGGTGCTCCATGCAGTCATGCCGGCCACATGACCTTGGAGGTGTCTACGGACAACGCCGGCTCTTCGGCTTAAGAAATGGAGATGAGCACCACCCCCCAGAGTCAGACACGACTGGACTTAATGTCAGGGGAAAATCTTTACCTTAACCTACCAACCATAATCTCTTTGCACAGCAGGCAAAGATCAGATTTGCAATATTTTAAAGAATATATCACTCTTCTTAACCCATGCATTAAATTTATACATGCGTCTTCAAACGAGATCAGTTATTATTCAGACCTGGGAAAAATATAAAAGACGTCAGGGATGTATATATGAGAAATAATTAATATTGCCACAATTAAGTGACTGCTCATCTTGGGAAAAATAATTTAGATAATTTAATCTAAGTGCTGGTGCAATGAAATGGCTCTTCCCTGCTACACAACAGCAGCATTATCATTCCATTTTAATTGCTATTGCAACTTGCTAATGAATCTTGGATTTGCAGACTACGGAGAGGTACTGAATATTCTCTTTCAAGCAAGTAATTATAGACATCCAAAGGTTGCTAAGCTTGATAATTTAAAGGCAATCAAAGCAAGAGTCCTAACATTGCTTTCCCAAATTTTTGGGAAGGCAGTTGATGCAACCCTCTAGTAGCCACATTCAAGTACACTGAAGTTCATAACCAAAGAATAAACATATGTCCCTTGCTCTGTTGGTTGAGCTGCTGTGCTGACATGAGAGTTATAATGCAAAGAATTGCTTTGTTTATTAGAGAGGAAAATGTTTGTTTTCAGGTCCCCAAACTGTATTATGACTAAACATCTGCCAATGTTTTCATAGGTCTTAGCTCTGTGTCTGTTGTTGGAGAGTCAGCAGCTGTACCTGTATAAGGGCCACAAGGTAAAATCATCTAGCTTATTATATCTTTTCAAAAATCGATTAAAATTTCATTTTATCAGCTAGCGCATATCTTACCTGCAACATTTGTAATTGAAGGGAAATGAACAGAAAAAAGGGAACAGCGGATGTGATGGCACATCCGAGCCTTTGGGAAAACTATATTGTCTGGTTTTACTTGGGGATTATCTGATACCTTCTGTTAAGATTAAGACCCTTTAACACAGAGGCACTTTAGGCAAGGTAAAAAGATAAACAAACGAGTTTACTGAAAACAGGATGAATAAAGGGTTAACTCCACCCAGGACCATCATAAGATAACTTAAAACAATACATTACAAAAGGAGATTTTGCTGGTTGTAGTCATCTCTCTGGAATCTTTTGCCTCTGATGCAAAGTGATGGATTATAAATTGTTGCTTATAAACTGTCTTAATCTTCTTTCCTGTGAAGCTTAGGCTGGTCAAAAGCTTCTGTTTACCTTTGGATTGGTATAGTAATACTGCTAAATGCAGGTGCTAAGGATGCCTGTTTTTGGATTACTTGGCCTAGGATTACAGAAAATGCCCAAGCCTCTAGTAACTGTAGAAAAGGGACGAGTCCAGCAAGAGAGCTCTATACAGGGAAATGGAATAGACTAACTAAGGCTGGCCTCTGGGGGG